CTTATCCATATTTTTTTTTACATTCTACATTGAAAACTACGTCAAAAAGGAATACTTGTTTGATCTCGATTGGAGCAGCCGTTTCCGAGAAAACATCATCCAAAGATATTCGTCCACTTTAGCTTAATTTTCAATTTTCCTAAATTACCTCGGTGAATCTCGTAAATAAAAATAACTTTTTTAGCTCTCTCTAAATAATTGTAGTTCAAATGTCGTGGTGGGACTATTTTTATTTAATAATAAGAAACGGTTTAAAAAAATATTTATTCTAAAAAAACAAATCAAAAAAAATTAAAGCAGATGCTCAACGTGGCGACCATTGGTTTCCACACACAAGCGCAACCGTCGCATCATAGACTGTCTTACACGAAAAAATACTTCAGGATTATTCCTAAGAACTTCGCAATGATGAAAAACTCGTTCTTCCAATTCTTCAACTGTTTCAACAGGACTGGAATAAACCAATGATTTTAAATAACCCCAAACAAAAAAATCCATTGGATTTAGATCTGGTGAACGAGGTGGCCAGTTAACAGGACAACCTCTGCCAATTACTCTACCCTCAAATCTTTCGTTAAGGTGCTGTCTAGCTTCAAGGCTGTAATGTGGTGGAGCTCCATCATGCATAAACCACATGTTATGTCTGATTTGAATCGGAATATTATCAAGAAGCTCATGTAAGTTATTTTCCAAAAAAAGCCTGTATGCTGCTCCATTTAACCTATTCGGCAAAACAAATGGTCCAATAAGGTAATTATCAATAACTCCAGCCCAGACGTTTATTGAAAATTTATCCTGGTGGTGACGTTCAACAACCGCGTGAGGGTTATCTTCAGCCCATTCATGCATATTTCGAAAATTTATTATACCATCTCTAGTGAAACCAGCTTCATCGGTAAATAGCACTTTATTAAGAAACATTGCATCTTGATTACATCTTCCAAGAAACCATTCAGAAAAGATAACTCGCGGCTCATAATCAGTAGCTTTAAGTGCCTGAACTTTTTGAATGTGGTAAGGGTACAATTGTTGTTCACGCAAAACTTTCCATACCGTGTTACGTCCGACTCCCACTTCTGAAATTAAATGAGAGAATCTGTGTAGTGAATAGTTAAGAAAGAGAATCCATTGATTTGGGAAATCAGATTTTTTCTGCATAACGCAACTCTTTTCGATACGAAAAGTCGTGAAATGTAAGAGAAGCAATAACAAGTAAAAAAACTAGTTTTATACGATAAGGTACGGGGTAGCTAAAATAATAAATAAGTAATTACTTACCATTTGCTATTTTTCTGGTACTTGTCGATGGGGTTTCAGCTACCCTATCCAAAATTGCTTCTTCCAAAGCAGGAGTTCTCACATAATTTTGTCTTCCACTGTTACTAGAGTTTTTCTTAAATGTACCAGTTTCCCGAAGTCTATCGTCAATTCTAGAAAACGTCTTAGCGCATGGAAGATGCCTATTTGGAAAGCGCTCCTGATAAAGTCTGCGAGCTTCATTGGCATTTCCAGAAGCGAGTCCAAAACATAAGTGCATGTCCGTCATTTCGCCGAATGTGTAATCATTATTGTAGTTATTGTGAGACATTTTAAACAAAATAATAACAATACAACGAATCGCACCAGAACACTTTTAGAAATAATGTTTAACTGAAGAAACATTTTTATCAGTGAGCGAAAAAAATTATCCATGAAACACAAAAACGCCAAAAAAATACATATTTTTACTTTTTTATTCTAAACAGCTAAATACAAACCTTATGGTCTTCATAATAAATAAATGGGAACTAAATTTTTAAATTTTATTTAGAGAGCTAAAAATAGTATACAGGGTGATTGATTAGTGTGAGGAAGCTCTGTAGATCTGTTATAATAAAAGTAGGCAGCTTTAAGCTTCACATTTTAAAATTAGTTACGATGTGACAGGGTGTTTCATAAGGCCGTGCCAAATCAAAGTTATGTTTTTTAAATGGAACACCCTGTATATTTTTATATTTTTAGAATCTGCTCGATAATCTGATTTCAATGATATATCACACTTGTTATCTAATATGAATAGTAAAGGATCTACAGCTACTCAAAAATCACATTTTTTCAAATTCAGGTGGCTGTTGTAGCCAAACAGTTGGAAATCGAGGAAAACGGCTTACAGTCCCTATCCTAACTTTTTAAGGTCTATTCAGTGACATAAAATACATATTATTTGATACAGGGTGATCAAAAATCCAAAATCACATCCGATTTTTGATCACCCTGTATCAACTAATATTTTTTGCCACTGAATAGACCTTCAAAAGTAAGGATAGGGACATGTAAGCCGTGTTCCTCGATTTCCAACTTTTTGGCTACAACAGCCAAAATTGAAAATTAACCTAAACTGCACGAATATCTTTGGATGATGTTTTCTCGGAAACGGCTGCTCCAATCGAGATCAAACAAGTATTCCTTTTTGACGTAGTTTTCAATGTAGAATGTAAAAAAAAAATATGGATAAATCATTACCAAAAACACAAAAAAGTTATGAATAATCAAAATTTTCAAAAAATTCCCAAGTAAACCCCTGACGAAATAATTTCTTTTTGAAGGTGTCAAAAGGTCACTATTATTGATCATATTTAACAGCCAAAATTTAGTTCTTTTATTTGTTTCCATTTTTAAGAAAATTCAAAAAATCAAAATAAAAAAAATGATTTCGAGAGGCTGTTGCTCGCTTAGGGGGCACTTTAGGACATAGGTCTATAGGAACTTTTTTTCCATTTTTTGGTTAAGGAATCTGCCTGAGAATTTTGGGACACATTTTAAAGGACACCCTGTATATTTGCCTGGTATGATGTTAACCAAAATTATTTAAAATTTTAAATTAACATTAAGTAGGTACGGGTATCTAATAAAACACTGTCCTAAAAATATATAATTTTTTAATTAATAATTACAAAAAAACATGGTATGGCAAAAAATATCGTAAAAAAACTGTAAAAATTTTTAAAATAATGTTTTAAATATATAAAATACTTTAATTTTATTAACTAAAATTTCATTTAATTTTTTTATGCTTAGGTATTAATGTTATAACTTACTGCAACGTTTCTTTTTGCAGCAGGTGGTGTTCCAAAAACAGTTGAATCAGAACTAAAAACCCATACATTAGATATACATACATATAGGTAATAAACAATGTTTAGAGGTAAACAAAAAATTAATATTTTGTATTTTTACCTGTTGGATAAGTCATCCAAAAATAGAAATCCCTCACACCGTCTGGAGTTTGCATCTTTTCTAATATATCTAGTACCATTTGCGCGTACCAAAACATTTTCAGGAAAACAGTGTTCAAAACACAACTCTGGGTTTTTACGAAGGGGCTGATTTTTAAGGATTCCTATTAGAGAAAACCAAAGTTTTCTTTTCTCAGGATCTTGCGGGAACCTAATTAGAGTAATAAAAAATATGTATAGGTGCTCAATAGGTAAATCATTTTTAAGGTATTCTACATATTACGTTAAATTTTCTTTGCCACTATTCAATAATTATTTATTGGTATAATTTACTAATTTATAAAAGGAATATCACTTTAAAAACTGTTTTAAGACTGTTTTAGACTACACAAGTTTTTGATACAATTTCTTGTACAATTTAAATTGTATATTATCAAACTTGCAGTAAATTGTAAATTGGATAATCATGTTTCAAACAATTTACTATGTGATCCTATATAATTTAAATTCTATAAGAAATTGTATCAAATCTTGTACAAGCCCTACTCCACTGGTTCAAATGAAAACAACATATCTTAACCTAAAAATACTTACCGATGAAACCATACATTTCGACTTAAATGATCTACCTTTTTGAACACTACACATGCATGTACCATAATTCTTTATATTTCTCACAAAAGTTCACAAAAATAGTATTTTATAAATGAATAAATCAATAAGTCACACAGAAACTATCAGATACTGTCAGAAATACAAAATAGCTGTTAGACCTGATTGGCAACGTTGCGGCTGGTTACGGTACTACATTTCATTTATAAAAATTGTAAATTCGTAAAATAAGATATTCAGCGTTGCCGTATTTACGGAGTCCTTCGAAACCCTACTATTTTGTTTAGATTAATATTGATTTTTTAATAAGAATTTAGCTTATATTAAAACTTCAAAGAATAATTTGATTAAAAACATATTTTTATTTATATAATATAAAATTATAGTTATAGGACACATCAAATTTTATTTTTCGAAAGTAATTTCTCCAAATAATTTTGACAGACTGATAAAGTCGGCAAAGACGCAATAAACGGTGGGAATAATGATTTGCCACATAAAAATGTAAATAATTTAGTCTCTTAGTTGTAATGTCTTTAAAACTTACAAACATTTACTGTTTATTTTATTTTCGGCTTGTAAATAAAATTGTATGAAAAATTTATTATAAGTTTACAAATTATTATTTATAATCGGAAGTTTTTAAGAGAAAAATCATAATTTTAAACTTGAAATAATCTTATTTTTGTATATTTGCAAAATAAAATTAGTGGGCTTGTTTTTTCAAGATTACATTTTTAGCCCACAATGGATTTTTTTTTATATTTTTGTTCTTAAACATGAAACCTATTGATTCCTGTTGAAAAAAAGTCTCCTTGAACTTCATTGAGCAAGTAAGATTTGCCTAGTAGGTAGTCATGCGTAACTAACTCGTATAGGTACCTACTTTTACGCTACCTTCCATAAACGAGTCCACTTGAATAAGAAACAGAAACGCGAATTTTGTTGCCTCTAGCACGGAATTATTCTGTGCCTCTAGGCCTCATTCTCATTCATACACCGGCTTTATGAATTGGAATGCGCCAATACAAAAAAGATAATGTTAAATGTTATACACCTCCATTCTAAATCCGTTGAAATCGGCTCCTGCTTCCGCATAACTTTTAAGCGCATACCCTGTATATTATTACAGCGGCTATTAACTTTTTAAATTGTTTAAAATAAAGAATAGATAGTTAATCTAACTAGACTATCGCCGGCCGGCTAGCTGGAGAACAGCTGTAGTGTGTGTACGCTCGCGAAAATTGAAAAGCCAATTTCCGTGTGACAGTGACAGCGGCGCGACGGGACTTAACCACAAATCGATCTGAAATTAAAAATATGGCAGCCCTAAATGCACAAATTTTCATCGGAAATATCATACATTCAAAGAGTCGAGATGAACTTGAAGTGCTAGAAAATGGATATATAATCGTTGTAGGTTCTAAGGTAAGATATTTTTCATAAACACCTATTTTCAGAAATCGATAACACCATTTTAGACAGTTCTTATATTAAAACGTTCTATGCGTTTGATGTACAGGGTTATTCAGATAGCTATTTTACCTATTCGCTCAGAGTTAAGTCATGGTAGGGGAAGCAAAACCGATACTAGCGCTTGCTGTGAATAATTCGTGCATTTTAGGGTGATTTTTTGTAATTTTGGCATATCAAATACACGTAAATATTTTACTTTTTTTTCAAATAAATAGGTAAAAACAATACAATAAGCAACCGGAGTTGCTGTGTTGAAAATTGTTAAATTACTAGCAAAAAACAGTGTAAATTATAAACATTTTCAGTAGCGAAGTGGAAATTTAATCAAAGAAATAATTGGATTTGTGTACAATAAAAAGAAAAACTACCTTTATTTTTGTAATAATAACAATAATACTGGAAATAGTAGATAGCAGAAACTTGAAAGGTTTTAAATAAAAACATCTCTTTAATCGTAAATGTTCAGCAAGAACTAGAATTCTGCCTCTGATTATTGTATGTAGCTGGAATGCAATTTTGTGACTTACTGATAGGAAACCAGTTTTAATCATTCATTCTATGTTTTCTTTCGAACAAAAATGAAAATATAAAAAATAATCCTTGAATGGGGATGGTGCTGCTGGCTACATTCTCATCACGAGTGCCAGTTCTGAGACTGGCCACAGCTAGTATCTTTTGGTTTAACACTAGCTGCGTCAATAAAATAAAAACTGCGATCTTTTATATTCGTATAATATTACCATGAACAGGAACAGGAACACATTAACATTCTTTTACAACTATTCTATTATCTAATACAGGGTTTCTTATATAAAAAATTGAGATTACAAGAATGACTTTTTCCGTTGACTTCTGCCCAAAAAACAACAACTTGCCTAGCGATCGTATTCCTACGTCCCAAAATGATTGTGACGCGCGAATGTTGCGAAACGGGATACCCGGGTTGCTCATTAGGAATGTGTCGTCATATATTTATTGTCAAAATTCCTACAATCCTTCTGTTCACATTTTAACTTCACGCTATTATTTAAAGTTATTTTTTTATTTTGACAGAATAGGTTAATTCTTCAAAGACAACTTATGAGTAGGGGTGGCAAAATAATCGATTAATCTATTATTAATCGATTAATCGAATAGTCGATCATTATATATTTTTTAAATCGATAATAGTTTAATTGATTATTTTCGATTAATCGATTATTTTCGATTAATCGGTTATTTTCTTATTTGTTTATTTGCATTTTTCATACATTTTCGGAGTTCTAGAAATCTTTGAAACAAGCAGTAATTAAAAACTCATATTTCATTATATTGTTATTCAATGCACACCATTTTAAAGCTTAGAGTGTCTACTTTTCGAACTTATTTTTTTTTTTTTTTTTTTAATAAAGTTGCTCCATTTTCCAGAAATCGGGAAAATTGATCACACCTGGGAAAACCGGACTTTTTTTTTTTTTTAAATACTTCTTGTTCCCCGCTGTTCATTTTTTGAACATTAATACTCAGACCGAAGTGAAGCTGATATTCTCACCTTTCCATTTCTATCAATTGATCCCCGTATGTGAGCGTGGTTCTTAACTGTTTGTTAGAATTATCTCTCCAATTTTTACGCTCTCCGTCTGAGATCCATGATATTCCATAATAACTTAACAACGTGTACCCACGCGCCACGCGCTCACCTTAATCGTCTGCTTTTGTTGGTATACAATCTCTGTTGTTTTTGGAGTCGTTATTGTCGGTTGTTATATATTTTTTTCGTATATTTAAAGAAAATTCACGATTCTGAGTTCGAGTAGTACAATAATAAACAATGATTACTTCTCTTTTCTATATTTAACACAAATGAGTTAAAGTGGAATATATATCGAAGATTTGGGGTTGCGGTAAGTCTTTTGTTGCTATATCTATCATATAATTATTTCTACTAATGTTATTCTTTTTATTAGGTTAAAACAAACATAAAATAGAAAGGCCCTTTAGATACAGAGCTTTTAGCGGCACTTCTAGAAGATTTGCTTTACAAAGTGAGTGTAAATTACCGGAAAAATTAATTAAATTAAGTATAAAAGGGATCCGCCCCCCCCCCCCCCCCCCCCGGAACGCTTGAAGATGATTTTTTGTCAGTGCAAAACAGGCTGCGAGAAGAGTTGTTCATGTTTGAAAGCCGGACTGAAATGCTCACCTGTCTGTGGTTCGTGTCAGTCGACACAGTGTTTTAATTATAACAAAAATGAAGGTATTTTCCCGGAAGAATTAGAGATGGATCGAGACCCAGAAGGGGTTGAAGGGGAGGAGGATGAAATAGCTGTCGAGACAGCAACACAGGGGTTGGAAAAACAGGGGGAAGGGACGCATGGAAGGAAAAGAGAAAGAGCAAGACGATGAAGGGTATGATTTTGATGACATTGAATGGTTTAACGTATGATAAATTATAAGCATTGCTATGTATTTCGTTTTTTATAATAAAAGAAAATTTTCAGAAACTTTCTTATTTTTCTGAAATCCTGGACCTATATTGTTCCGATAGAAGTTGGCGAAAATTTTGCAAAAGACGCAGAAAATATAAAGGGTCTTCTCGGATCAATATTCATCACACTCTAAAACTAGTAACCCACTATTAGGCAAAGCGCCGGGATTTGAGACTGCCACATGAAAAATGTTTGCACTTTTCTATTAAATTTTGCAACGCAAATTACACAGAACATTCGGCAATATAGATGAGATACCCCAAGCGATACTTTACAGAAAAAATCCCGTAGAATCCGCCAATAATTATCGAAAGATCGATTGGTGCCCGGATTTCCATTCATAGGCCCCATAATTTAGTGAGCAGAGTTATGCCGCTGGCGCCATCTACAATTGGTCTCCAAAGTCCAAAACATGAAAATCAATGTATTCCCAACTCTCTCGAGCGGAAATTCAGTGAGAAACTAACATTTCTATTCAGTGCAAAAATTCGGGCTTTTTCGAAGGCCGTTTTTGCAAAAAATATTCGTCTTGTGAAAAAAAAATGGTAGGGACTAGTCCAATTAAATAACGAAAAAAAGCCCCTTCGAGCTTACATTAATTTGTAATTGGATCAAACAAAAAGGACCTTGTGTATTTTGATGTGATCTTTCCGAAAAAAAGAAAAAAAAGATGTAGCAGTTTTCAATTTTTTTAAATTAGGAAAAACCGGGTTTTCCGGAATTTTCCATTGTAAAAATGCTAATTATCTGGGCAAGTATCATTCCGATAGTGAAAATAAATGCACCATTCGAAAGAGGAGGCAAAAATAGTTCGGAAATTCATTGAACAGGTAGTTTTAATGGCGAATTTCTCGCCGCCAGAAGTGCTTTTACCAAAAAATCGTTTTTTCGTTTTTTTGATCAGAACCATGGACATGAAATTTGCGATGAATTTGTGGCGAAATTATAAATGTTAGACATATGTGCCCATGAGAGAAGTTGCGTATTTTTTTGTTGGCTCTCAAATAAAATAAGTCCCGCGGCGAAATCTGACATAATTTTTCGGGAATTCGCAGGAAACCAGAGGCGTAGTTTTTTTTTAATTTTTTTCCCATGTGATTTTTTCCGGGTTTTCCGAAAACATCTAACAAAATAAATATATTTGAAAAAACTAACTTCGCCATCGAAAAGAGCACGAAAAACTACACAAAAAGGTATACTTTAAAAATGTTAGGAAATTAATCCTAAGCCTGAGTGTAAGTTCCAACTTGGTGATAAGCTTGCTTTTTATTCGCTAATATCTGGTAATTCTATATTTTGCACAAAACTCAAGAAACGTCTTATAACAAGTCAGTAAAATACAATTTAATAAATTTTAAGTCTAATAAATTTAGATATGCAAGAAATTTAAAACTGGAAATCGCAAAAAAATCAAATTACAGTAATGTAGTGTATACACGAGTTTTGGATCCCGCGGAGCGCGTGTAATGGGACTTTTGTCGGGAGAATTCTACAACTTAGAAGAAACATACACACTTTAAACTTTGTATACACATTTAGAAGACATGAAATTTGGGTTTGTTTAATTTTCAGACAAAAAAACTAAAAATTGTCAATTTTAGGCAACTTTTCTCAAAAACCGTATTTTTTGGTCGTCACTAAATGAACAGTGGTCAAAAAAATAGATAAAATATATTTGCAGAATTTTCCGTAATGTAATCGTATTCTAGACACAATAGAGTACTCAAAAAAAAAGTTTTGAGCCATTGGGTGCATTTTTGGCATTTTTGTGCCACTTCAAACTTTCGAAAAAAAAAAATATATTTTTTTTTTTTTTGAAAAAAAATATATTTTTTTTTTTTTTGAAAAAAAATTATTTAATTGTTTGATATCAACCAATTATGGTCCGATGTCGGTGAAATTCACACACACATAAGATTTCACATTTAAGAGTAAGATTTGTAAGTGGCATTAAAAAAATTCAAATAGTTTGGCCGTTATAGGTAAACAATGAAATTAGGACCGCGGTGCATTTTGCCCTTCCACCATATGCCCAATTTTGGGATTTCTCTTGCCCCCTTCTGGGAATCACTAGTCACATCCCTTGAGTTCAAAACACATTTTGTTTTTTCAAATATCTTAATTTTTACCAATGTTATAAAGAATTTAGTGTTTGAACATTTAACAAATTCAATTTGTCGACCTTCGTCGCCTCAAAATACTAAACAAATTTCAATCGTCCATACCGCGAGAACGGTGCATCGGATCAAAATTTCTCAAGAGACATAAAAATTAGCATTTTTCCTAAGCTTTCAAATATCGTAAACTGCGTTTTAAAAATATTGATTTATTTCCGACATGCGCCTGCGCAAAATTGAAAAATTGACAAAATCCAAAATTTCGGCACTTTCGAAAAACTGCTACATTTTGTTTTGCCTTTTTTCGAAAAGATCACCTCAAAATACATAGAATCCATTTTGTTTCATCTACTTACAATTTAATGTAAGCTCAAAACCCGTAATTTAATTCGATTAGACCATTTTTGTAGATAATGATACGATCTTCATTTTTTATCAAAACAAAAATTGTCTAATTTGTATATTTGGCAGATATTAGCGGGAAACCATTTTTTCGGACTTTAGGGGCCATTTTAAGCCCTTTCCGACCCAGCAGTGTTGGTAAAAGTTTTCGTCCTTGAAAGCAACCGTCAAGACCTAAGAATTGAGCCTCAAAGGAAATCTGGACCGACTTAATGATAGCTTTGCATATTTTCAGGTCTTCAGTTACTGGACTAATAACAATTGCAAATAGCTCAAAAAACATTTTGTAAAGTACCTATATACATATTCAAAAAAAAAATTTTGCTAGTTTTGGTAGAAAGGGAATTTGCTTAATAAACACTGATTTAAATTATGTGTTTAACTATAGTATATATATTTAGTAAAATAACTGCAACGAATGTTTAATATTTATGCAAATCAGCATAATACTTTGACATCAATAAATATAAAAAAATTAATAAAGCAACCCTAAACCACTTATTTATCTATCATATGTCACATTGTATGTTTACAGTGTCTCGCACAGTGTCTGAAAACCAGTCAATTTAATAAAATACATACTGGTGGTTCTCCTGAAAGTTTTAAGCCTCATATCAATTTAAATAGGATTTCGCAACATATTTGTCAACGTTGTACCTACCTTATTTATTTCTTGGTAAGATGGTTGGCGCTAAGACTGTCCAAGAGAAATATTTATTGTCGACACGAACTTTTGTAATATTTATATTTTAATAATCTTATATAAATCTGCTCTTAGAACATTAAATTTGAAACGAAACAATGGCTGTTATTACTCCACCTACACGTCATCCTACGAACTGTACAACCCATTCTCGTTTTAACAGCAAAAAATATGAATTTAATTTAAAAAATAGCAATCTTGATACCTATTATGTCGTTATTTCTTGCATTTAGGTATCCTTGTTTCGTATTTCAAAATAATGTAACGATTACAAACGTATTCAAATTTCAAATAATGGCGCTGTCGTTTTCGGTTAACTAGGTAACTACCTATTCTGATTTAATGTTTTATTAGGTAGGTAGCTTGTAGTAAAAAATGTTTCTACTATAATGCTTTCTGAACCTATTCTCTATTATTGGTCATAAAATGTTTCAAATATCATCAAACCTTGAAATTTTTGCGCCGTTAATACAAAATCAAACTTTACAATTTAATTAATTTTCATCAACGTTTTAAATATCAAAATACCTACCACTCAAAAAATTTGCTATCTGGTTCTGCTTCTGAGTTAAATTTATACCGTTCTAGCCAGAATGTATACTTATTTTAACAACACCGAATCATTATTTTCAGATTTTAGCAATTGGTCTGGAACCCACATTAAACGATGCAAAGGCAAGATTATCGTTAGGCAACAAAGCGCCAGTGACAACTTTAAGTAAATCACAACTGCTTATCCCTGGTTTTGTCGATACTCACCTTCATGCTCCGCAATATCCAAATTGTGGATTAGGATATGACAAACATCTAATGGATTGGTTAAATACTTACACTTATCCATTAGAATCGAAGTATAGTGACTTGGAACTTTCAAGAAGAGTTTTCAAGGCTCTAGTGGTAAGTAATTTTCTTTTGTTACAATTGTCTTTTTTTCAATAACTATATCGACTAACCTTCTTCCGCTCTTCATCCTATCCTACATGCTTTTATACTAGTAGAAGAATTTCCATAATAATTGGTATGGTATAAATTATGGTATAAATGAGAAAGATTATTTGAAACTTCACAGCAAATTTGCATAAAAACTAAAAATGCCACACCAAAAATATAGGTTTTACCTATCACTCCATTTCATGTCTGGCGAGACAAGGAAGATCAACTGATAGTCATAGCAAATGTGTCTGGAATTTAGTGAGTTGCATGCTTCGCTATCAGTCAAGCAATGTCTACCACACCGACGAGAGCCGTTGAGTCCATGCTGGATCTCTAATCCGTCTTCACATTTTGGTGGAAAGGGAGGACGGGTCAGTCTCCTACAAACCGCTGGCGGTGGGTGGTCGATGAAAGAAAGTCCTAGCTTGGAAAAAACGAAATTACTGAGTGAAATTAAAAACCACCAGATTCTCGGCATGATCTTAGACTCGATTGTTCCTGATAGTAGGTAAAAAAGTCGTAAAAGTTTGGATAAACTGGATTCCCTTTTAAAAGAATATCGATCAGATAAATGTATTGTAGATGCCAAAGACTTTTCTATCTTATAAGTGTATGAATGAACTTGTTGTGGACTGTAATCTTGATTTTTCACATTAAATAAAACACTTGAAACGTTTGTGAAACAATATTTATTACTGCTTTCGCAGCGTTCAGTTACCGAATGTTGTAAAAAATCTGGAAGTTTGCGATGTTGCCAAACTCTACATAATATCTAGTTTTACACTAAAAAATATATTTTATATAAAAAGACAGCTACAAACCTCACCATTGTACTCGTGTTAACGTAATATTTGATTTCTAGAAGAAAACTCTCGACTATGGAACCACTACTGCTTGTTATTTTGGAACCTTATTCAATGAGAGCTGCAATATTCTAGTGGACACAGTCGTCGATCAAGGACAAAGAGCTTTGATTGGAAAAGTTAATATGACCAAAGGGGCTCCGGATAATTACCTAGAGATACCAGTAAAGTCACTTGAAAATACTAGAGAATTCGTTAAGTATGTACAGTCCAAAAAGGTTCGTAATATTTATTTAATATAATATTCACATAAAGTGCGTGTGATTAATGAAATAAATTAGATAAGAAAACTGTAAACATTTAGACAGCTGCATTATTTGCTATGACGGTATTTTCGGTTAGGAAAACAGTTGACATAATATATAAGATCATTAGATCAACTGTTTTCCTATATTCTGGATCAATATGCAAAATAATTGCAGAAAGATCCAAAATTTATATTGTGATATAAATTTAATTATATTTCTATTGGATGTTAAAATATTGAAATTGACATAAAATTATTTTTTTTTTAGTCGAATTTAGTGAAGCCAATTATTACCCCACGATTTGCATTAAGCGTCGATTTAGATATGATGAAAGAACTAAGTTTATTAGCGAAATGTGAAAATTTACATCTACAGGTATATTGACATTAATTTTTTCAGCTTATTTTGACAACCGCTTGCAAATGAAATTATTAATGTGAAAACGCATTAGGAAATCGCGATCCCATAGCATCGTGGTTTGTGCTAGTCTTGAGCGCGCGCGGTATCTCGAGACTCTTTGAAGAAGATAGGAGGAAAATAAGATGCAAGCTAGCACGGCTCTAGAACAACAAGTAAAAATGCATGTGTTATAAAATATGGGAAAGAACTTCACCGCGCGCTCTCGAGACTAGTCCAGACCTCGATTATCTAATGCGTTTCTACTTTTATAGTGCTTTGATTAATGTATAAATAATAGCCGGAGGCCGCGTAAAAATTTTTCAGCAGGCTCATAATTGCTCTCGTCAGAACTATCAATAGACATTTTTTTCTTCTTCAGTTTGCTCTTCCTCTTTCTCATCCTCTCAGATTGTTTCTCATTTTAGGTTCCTTCTTTTGGCTGTCTGTCTTGTAGCGTACGTTATTGTTCTCTAGCATGAGACGGCTTCTTAAACTGCTTTGCAACCCTCCACACTGAGTTGTCATTTGGTCTTAGTTCCCTTAGTGTTTTCCTCCAGTTTTTGTTCCTGTACTGGCGTATTTGTCTTTTTATTGCTTTAGATTCTGTCATCCCTCATTCTGTTTCTCTGCCATTTTTTTCTTATCGCGTTTTTATTAACGATCAATCAAGATTGTTGTGGCATCTCTAGCAGCAATAATGTCTTTAGTCAGTTTGTCAATTTCTAGGTCTATTTTGGTTTTTCTGCGTTAATGTTATTGTTAATTGTGCATTTTTCATCAAATATTTTCCTGTAGTCTCCTCATTTTGTCGTTTTGTAATCATAGTAAGTCCCCATCTGTCTTTGTATTCGTTGTTTTGTCCTTATTTCCAAATGTACTGGTTCATGGTCTAAGTTTACGGTTTTGATTATAAGTATCTTTTGTACGTAAGTGTACTGATGAGGGCTCCCAACCGGCACACAGTGTTGCCAACACTACGCTTCGCATTCCTGCTGGATTGGCATATTAAAACCGATAGAATCTGCTAAAAATACTGAACCCCCCGCTAAAAGTAAAATTATACTTAATACAGCGACAGACTACAAGGATCTTATCAAACTTACCAATTCTCCTATACAGATGACAAAAATCACGCTCCAAAAGGTAACAAACGAATAATAAAATCATTAAAATATTCGCTTGTCAGTGACCCACTAAAAAAAAAAAAAAAACAAGAACTCGAGAAACAGTCACAAATATATTGTATCTTGTGTATGCACAAAATTTATTTTTCTATCAATTCTGTTTCAATTTTGTCAAAAATTAAAACCGCTTAGCTGCTAAATAATTATTTTACCAACTAAATTAAAAAAAAATCACTAGATCTAGCGAGAAAACCGCTAGATTGGCAACACTGCCGGCACACCGACGAGCAGCTCACCGCTCAGTCGTCCGTCGGACTAGTATTTTCGAGTAGTCAGACCGTGTGAAATGTTCGTCAGTGTGTTTGACGTTATCCTGTCTGTGATACGGTTTATATGTATTTATGTATTTTTTTTATTTTGTAAAAGTTTATTGTCTATGAATGTCTGTGTTTATGTTTACTTGATGTTAAATAGGTCTATGTTTGTCATGAATGTGTTAAAAGTTGTAAAGTATTGTGCTATCGTGTGGCAAAGTCTCAGTTGTGCATTTAAGTCTCTGATGGCTCGGACGAGTTCTGCTATATTTACTAGTGAGTTTAATTCCATTCATTCTGAATTTATTGCGAAAATATCGTCTAGACCTCGCGATGATGTTACTACAGTGTGTGTCTCTCTTTGTACTGACGTAGGGGGTTGTATCCTGCTAGGTAGTGGCAGGAACTCTTTTGTTTGTGGGCCTCTGTTTCTGTTGTTTCTCTCCCATGCATTTGTGGTTGGTTGTTGCGCTATTATGTATTTTTGTCGTTGATTCTAGGTAAGTTTTACATCTTCTATTGAAAAGAAGCATTTAAACTATAAAATCAGATTCGATAAAATGCTTTTTTCATTTGCAAGCTGCCTCCCGAACTATCCTCATGATATTTAAAATTAAAAGTTTCATTATTTTAGACTCACATATCGGAAAACAAGGAAGAAGTAGAATTAGTTCAAGAACAATATGGAATGCATTATGCTAACGTTTATGATGAGGCAAACTTATTAACCCAAAAAGTAAGCAAATATAGACATAAGTTAAATATTATCTATGTATTGAGTGATCCTCTATATAAAACCAACATTTTTCTTAGGACATATACACAATATTTGGTTAATATGAGAATTTTTACTTTCAGACCATTTTGGCACATGGCATTTATCTTGTTGAAGACGAGTTAAAATTAATAGCAAGACGTGGTACGTCTATTGCCCACTGTCCTGATTCCAACTTGTGTTTAAAATCGGGAGCCTGTAATGTTCGTCAACTTTGGGACTATGGCATTTCTGTAGGTTTAGGTACAGGTATGTTTTTGAATTAAATAAAATCTCTACAATATTCTACATTGGAATGCCTTCTGTTTTTGTATAGAATTTATAGTTCAAACGGTGCTACTATCGAATCGCTTATCTGATCATGTGCCTGTACATAAAGTTTATTCAGCAATCAGTATTGTAAAAGGCCTGCTATTTCCCGTTAACTTCCCATCAATAGGCCATAAATTGTCAATATATTTATTTCTAGAAATAAAGGGAAAATGAAGGCTTATTAACTGGATTTGATGGCTAAGTGGCTTCGGTCCGACTGTCGGCCGCAGTTACATATATATGCAACCGGCCTTTTATACGCGTTGTTGCTTAGGCCAAGGGAGAGGTCTGGGCCAGTATTGCGAGAATATATTTTTATTATGTACCAGATTTGTCTAAAAAATATACCAGATTACATAAAAATGTACTAGATTCTGTAAAATGTACCAGATTTTTGAATGAATTGTGGTTTGGTTCATTAAGGAAAAAAATGGTTTTTAGCGATGTAAAACAAAACAAGAAGCAAAATCCCAACAATATATTGTACACCTGTCAAATGGTAACACGCTCAAAAAGAAAGATTCTTATAAAATATACTAGATCTAGTACAATTGTACTAGACTGGCAACACTGGTCTGGGCCCCCTAAACCCCCCTTATATAAGTCAGTGCTTTTTATACATTGTTATATTTAAATTTTAGTTATTTTTATGGAATCATAATGTTCATTCGCATTTTGTATGTAATGTAATAAAGGACTTTGGTCGATGGCATAATAAAGTACCTACGTTTATTATTATTGTTGTTTTATAATAATTGTTACTAAGTAGGTAGTCTGCTTTTTAATGAATTTCCTATTGGTTCGTTAATTTCTTGGAGAGGTTTATTTTATTTTAAATGAAACCGCAAGTGAGAATTTATTGTTATAAATAGATAAAAATGTAGGCGAAAAAGTTTTAAAAGCTACATTGTAATTTAAGTACTGTGGACAGGGCCGACAAGAGGGGAGCCCGGCAGCTTTAGGTGAAGACGTTTTTTTTTTGTTTAGAAATATGATATCGAAAGGACTGTCTGTGGGACTAATTATTTGAAATTATTTTTAATTTTGTTTCGCTAAAAAACAAAAATGACTGATATCTTTTGCATTTTTCAGATATATCTGGGGGGACTCTTCCATCCGTTGTAACAATAATGAGGCTGTGTTTATATTCCTCAATCCATTTTTCGTTCCATATCAAAAATTACCAACCTTTAAATTACGAAGAAGTATTTTATTTGGGAACTTTAGGAGGAGCAGAAGGTAACGATTTTTTAATTATTTTTTATAAATCAATCGCATTTAATTACGAAAACTTTTTTTTCCAATTTTGACCGATACCTCCACGTGTATAGAGAGGGAAATGAAATACTACATGTCTGAATCGATGTATAACTCTTAGGGGAAGTTGTCACCAGTGTTGACAATGCAAAAATTAAAACAAACCGAATGTCGAACTCAAATTAACCGAAATTATTTAAACATCACAACTCAATTATTCGAAACTAACCGAACTCGAAATTAGGCCGTGATCATTTTGTTTATTTATTTATTTATTTTGTTTGGAACACAAACAGGACATACCCAAAAAAGTGTTCCCAATGCTTCTTACATAATGGGTTTAAACTAAACAACTTTAACCTAATTAATAACAAAATATTATTACACTAGATACGAAATAAATGTGAAATAAGAAATAAGAGAACAGAAAAAATACTAAAGTTATTGCATTATAACAGAAATTCAAAAATTTTACATTAAAAAATATGTCGTAATTTAAGATTTTAAGGTACACTAGACAAAAAGTGTTTTTTTAAGCAATTTTTGAATGCACTTTCGGAAATAGAAAAAATATCAACTTCTAGTACGTTCATTATTGTGTCGAGAGTTTTAATACACCTATGTAAAGGAGAATTTTTAAAGTAATTAGTATTACTTGTATCTGAGTAAAACAAATTATTGCTTCGGGTATTATAAAAAGAAACGTTATAATTAATCATGCTATTAATGGGAATTGAATTTACTAAATTGTTACAAACTTTATATGTAAAAGTAATGTCTGTAATTTTCCTTCTGTTATAAAGTGGAATTAGGTTCATTTTATGTTGCGTAAATGTTAAGTCTTCTGTATATTGTGAAAGGGTTTTTTTATGAACAAATTTTATAAATTTATATTGTATATTTTCCAAACAGTTAATGTAGACATTATATTGCGGATTCCAAATAACCGAACCATAGCTTAATACGCTATTAACGTATGCCATATAAAGTGAACGAAGGGTGTTTATATTTGTAAAATCAAAAGAAGAACGCATGATAAATCCCAGCATTTTATTTGCCTTATTTGTGACATATTCTATGTGTTGGTTGAATAACATTTTTGAGTCAAAAATTATACCTAAATCCTTAATATCAGATACAGAGTTAATATTTAAGTTATTTAAGTTATACTGAAATTTTATCAGATTAATATTGCGACTAAAGCTTATTTGGAAGCATTTATTCAGGTTTAAAAATAAACTATTATCTTGACAGTATTTATAGAGTCGGTCAAGGTCATTTTGTATTAAGACACAATCAGCGATATTATTTATGGTGTGGTAAATTTTTAAATCGTCAGCATACATAAGAAAACGTGCAGATTTAAAGCAGGTTGATATATCATTCACATAAATATTAAACAAGAGGGGTCCAAGATGGGAGCCCTGCGGGACTCCGGAACAGACTTTTGAATAAGACGATAAACAGTTACCGACGGATACAGCTTGGCATAATAGTGTATCCTTTGATCAACTGTGATATTACGTTATTTTATAATATAACAGGATATCGAACAGCGAGCACTCTAATCTGCCGACCGCATCCATTCTAAAAAAGTCGAAAAGGCTAATTAGTTGACAGGTGACATTGACAGATGACACAAAATTTATTTTAATTAAAAACAATTGCAAATAAAAATACAAAAACAAAGTTTTACATTCAAATTAAAAAATAAATTTTAAATAAAAAAAAGCCTAAATAAACTAATATAGGTATATAATCCAAATAGGACAGTGTAAAGTAATAAGATCAACAATTAATTTAAAAAATAAAAATAAACTTATTATAACATCACTTTAGAAACCACCACCCATCAAGGAAGGAAGAATTTGTTGATAACCTTTGGATATATCTGGAAGAAACAAAAAACAACCTAAAAAATCATAAACATATCTTTGTAGAAGACATTAATATAAATATAAAACAAAATTCTGATTTAGTCTCCTATTATTTAGATAAGCTAGGAGATTTGAATTTGGAACCTCTGATAAATATACGCGAATAAAGGGACCCTCAGAAAGTTTAAATCACATTTTTTATAGTTACAATGCACCTACCTTAGACAATTATACGGCGGCAATTTTTGATACACAAATAACAGACCATAAAGCTAATATTGCATATTTTCCTCTAAAAGTTGATGTGTGTCAAAAAACGTCATTTGTTAAAAAAATTAATTACGATAAATTAAAACTAGAATTAAGTAATTAAAATTGGAAAACTTATTACTTTATAGAAAATGTAAATGAAAAAGTTAAGTACTTAACAGAAACTCTAAATTCACTTTTAGAAAACAATACAAAATTAATAAAACAGACCACCCTAAAAAAAAGAAAACAATGGATAACAGAAGAAATTATAAAGTCAATAAAAGAAAGTTTATAAAGTATTCACAAAAATGATTTTGAGAGTGTTGAAAAAAAAATGCGATATTTAAATTATAGAACACAGATAAATTAATTAAACAAGTTAAAAAAGATTTTTACACCAAACAAATAAATGAAAATAAAATAGTTCGAAAAGGTTATGGGACACTTTAAAACAAATACAAGGAGATAGTAGAAGTAATAGAGAAATACGTGAAATAACTACAGATGAAGGAAAAAATATTACAGACGCAAAAGATATAGCAGACAGTTTTAATCAATTGCAAATAACATAAATGATCCAAACTCACCACCTCCGATCAGAATTATTCATATAAACTATTTTTCGCTACTACAAGTAACTCAAACAGAAATAAATAATATCATTAATTCACTTTTGAACAAAAACTCACCTGGAATAGATATTTCCTCAGAATTAGTTAAAGATAATTCTGATTCATTATCACCACTTTTGATGGATCTAATTAATAAAATGTGATAAAGGTGAGTTTTCAGCCGAATTAAAAAAATCTTTAGTAGTACCTGTCTTTAAAAAAGGAAAAAAGAGTATGTTTACAAACTACAGACCTATTAGCCTTAAATTTACGTTTAAAAGATTACCTCAATAAATATAAGATCATCTCAAACAATTCGGGTTTCGAGACGGGCTCTCAACAACAGATCAGTAAGTTGACTGCAAAAAAACCCATGTCTAGCAGTTTTTCTGGATTTTGCCAAGGCCTTAATAATAATAATACTCTCCCTAATTCACCCCCTTACGAGTGAATTTTAACCCCAAAAGCTGAGTTTGTCCGGGGAAAGGGACGGCTATTATTATTATTTGCCGTGGCGCTCCGGGGCGACTTAAAGATGATTGATGGTGCCATTTGACTTACAGATGAGGAAAACCCGGAAAACCTCACCCACCATCATCGAGACGGTAATGTATGGCGAATTTTTTTAATCTGCATGCCATATCAACAGAAATTGAATTTCTATTAATACGCCACACATCAAATCCTAAACCGAACCATGCAATTTAATTAAAAATCCACATGGTCTGGTCTGGGATTCGAAACCCAGCAGTCTATAATTGAATATAAGCGCGATAGACCGCTACACCACCGTGCCCGACAATGTAGATCATAGACAGTTGTTAGAGACATTGGAAGATATAGGGATACGTGGGAAAACTTTTGACATTTTTAATAGTTATCTGAACAATAGATTTCAAAGAGTTAAAATCAATAATTAAATCAGTGACGAGAGGCCAATAGAAAGCGGTGTTCCTCAAGGAACTATATTAGGTCCCACTTTAATTATATGTAAACAATTTATATAATTTACAGAACACAGGAGAACTTTTGCCGATGACACTGCGATTTTTTATGAAGCAGAAACTTGGGACGATCTAAAACGGAAAACTGAAAGAGATTAAAATAAAATAATAGACTGGTGTTCCCATAAAAAATTAACCATAAACTACAACAAATCTTTCTTTTTACCATTTGTCAGCTACTCTAATAATCTACCTCAATTTAGTGACATTAGCTTGACTTATAATAAAAAGAAAACATTGGAAAAAAAATGAAATAAAATATTTAGGAGTTACTGTAGATTGTCATTTACGTTGAGACGCACATATAAATAACTTAACAAATACCTTAAGACTTCTTTTATTTAAATACCTCAAAAATATTTTACAAGTTACTCAACTAAGAACTATGTATTTATTATGCTTTAGTCCAAAGTCGTGTACAATACGCAATGGTCTATGGGGTGCTACAAAAATAACATAACCAAACTTGAAATATTACAACAGAGAATTTTAAAAATAATACACAGCAAAAAAGTTAGATACCCAAGGATAAAGGAAAAGTAGGTACCCACCTTGTAAATAAAACAATAGCACGTTTTTATATTTATTTAAGTGCAAAAATCTTTAATTTTCTTCCAGATATGTACATGTACAAGGCATATTTACAAATCATAATATACAAGTATTCGAACTTATAATTTTATAATTTAGTTGTAATTGTATACTTTTTGCTTGATATTTTTATTTTGTACATTTTCATTATTTATATTTCATATGTATTTTAAATGATGTGTTTTTTAGCTAATTTTATATTGTTATTGTTCAGTAATTATAATTTAATATGTATTCTTTAATTAATTTAATTAGATTTTATGAACTTATACAAGTCAAAACTTAAAATATGGTATTTAACAAAAATTAATTAAAAAAAAATAATTTCAAAAAAAAGTTAATAATTCGGCAGCCCATGCGCAACCACATGGTCATAAATGGGCAGCTAATACTTTTAATGAATAAGATACCTATGTTAATTACTCTATTAATTTAAAATTATTTAAAGTGTACCTATAACTATGATGTAACGAAAAAACAAAAATGCTGGATAAAGATTTTTATTATAGTATTGGAAAGCGGTTGAAGTGTAAAAGCCGCTTTACATTATGAAATTTTGATGCAATGCAATGCAATGCAAGAAATGTTGACAAGACTGCGCATGCGTCTCGGAAATTTTTAATCAGCTGTTACAAGTTGTGTGCAAGTCGAATAAATTAGAACCCACCTATTTTTCGTGCAAGTTTCAAGACATTTTAGTAATTTTAGTTAGTAATAAACCAATTACCAACCATGATCTGTGTTACCAACTGTAAAACAAAGTTTGCAATGTGCTGGTAGTGCACCTTGGTTGCAGATCATTTTAAAAATATAATAAAAGCTGTGATGTTGGCTGTATTATTTTTTTATGTTGGTGACTGGCGCTAGTTACACTGGTTGCACCAAAATTGCATAAATGTAAAACGTTGTGAAATAAAAAGAAAGACTTGCATGGGTATTGCATTGCATTGCATCAAAATTTCATAATGTAAAGCGGCTTTAAGGTATTAAAACCACATAGAACACTTTATTTAAAGACAATTGAAAGATGATAAAATTTGTATGCAACCAACAATACTGTTGTTTGTAATATTTTTTATTATCTTTACCGCAAGCAATAATTTTTTTTGATGATAAAATGTGTTTTACTATCAAGTGTGATGGGTAGCTTTAAACCGCAAGAAATATTATAGAGAAAACAATGTTATATATGATGGGTCAACGTCACCCTCTACCTGCTGGTGACTTTGCACACCCCTTTTTTTATTTTTTATTTGAGAAATTAGACCATTTAAGATATGCTAAGAATGTATAATTGTTATCTGGGTTCATTATATCACTAGTTGTGAAAAGAAAACAAATAAAAATAACCGTTTTTGATTTTATAAAATATATGCATTATTATTGAACGTTTATATCAAATAAGAGCAGGTTGACTCATGAAAATAGAATTTGGTTAAACTTGCAACCTAGTAATAATGCTGTTAAAGCCCTTATTTTCTATTATAAATCATCATAAAATAATTAAAACACAATACACGACAAAATAACTGACTTTTTGAAACTAAATAACTTTAAAAAGCAATATAAACACACTGCAAGTTGTTGAGAATAAATAGTTAATATGATGTTCTATTTATCAATAAAATGTTGCATATGCAACTAACTAAACAAGAAAGTAATATTGGTTGCCTAGATGTCAGTAACATGTTACCATAATCTAGTCAAAATTAGAAAAAAATATTGTAACACGTTCGAAATGCATTATTTTATGTAACGTATGAATATTTGTAGGACGAGCAGAGCGAGGTCCTGCAACATGAACATGAACTAGTTGCACAAATAGCTATTACTCTGTTTAAAACTTTTTTATTATTTGTATATTTTTTTTTTATATTTCAGCTTTATCTTTACAAAAGGAAATCGGAAATTTCGAAGTAAATAAGGACTTCGATGCACTTATTATAGACTTAGACACCGAAACTGGTCTGGACTATTTACTACCCTGTACACCAAGAGAACTTTTGCAGAAATTTATTTATTGTGGAGACGATAGAAATATTATAAATGTTTATGTTGCTGGAAGATTAGTAAAATGATAAATTCGTTATTTTTTTTAACTGGACCAATATATGAAAATGTTAGATATTTATTGTGTTTTTGTTTCCCTGTTGTAGGTATTATTAAATAGTTATTAGTTATACAAGGGAAAAAGTATTAGATTTTAGCTCGAGAGCTAGAATCTAATATATTTCCCGTGTATAATACACAATTTTTTTCTGTGATGAGAAAAACGACGATTTAATATTGAAAAAAATATTCTAAAATAATTACCTTTACTTTATGTATATCCGGGAAAAAAGTACACACTTTTCCGGCGAAACACTTTTTTCGCGGGAAACAGCAGGAAAAAAGTAATTTCATAAAAAGTGATATTTTGTTACCTGACACAATAAGAGATAAAATGTTAAACTTTTTTCCCGTCACAGAAAAATACTTATTCACATAAGCATCATTATAGTCCAGGGCATTTAGATCAAAATTGACCGGAATAGCGGACATTTTTAGGGACAGCAGATATCGAGATGCGGTTTTCTGTATTGTGTTCAGGAAGGTCCCGGGAAAAAAGTCTATATCGTCTGGTTTAGTCATTTTTTAAAAAGTGCCTTCTGGGCGGGAAAATGCATTTTCCAATTGCATCATTACTTGCACCATTATAGGAACGACTGGAAACTCGGAAGAATCGCTCGGAAATCGTTACTCGGGGGTGTCAAACTCGATTTTGGCATTAGAATTACCCGGGGGTGTTCGGAAATCTTCGGAAATTCGACAAAATAATGAAGCATTCAAACTATTCTGATTTTTAAACGTCAAACAACAAAACTTATATTGTACCTATTTCTTAGTCTTGACGTTAATTATTTATTAGGTTTTATTCTTATGGAGTGTTTTCATTTATAATTAAAATGACATCTGTAAGTTGCCGCGGAGCGCCATGGAAAATAATAATAGTCGTCCCTCCCCGACAACAATTAAATTGTATTGTATTTGGTTTAGCTATAAGATTAATATTTTATTTTTTTATGATGATGATTGTTGTTTTTTCTGGGTATCCTCATCTATAAGTTAAATGACACCATCTGGTTCCATTGGAGCGCCATGGCAAATAATAATATTACGGTTGTCCCTCCCCGATACCAGCTATGCTTTCAGAGTTACAGGGATCACTCGTAATGGGGTAAATTGTAAAAAGATTATTATTTAATATTATTTTGCTTTGTGCTAAAGAAAGGGAATGACCTAAGGGAAAGAAGCGATCCTTTCGAACTCTCTGAAAATAGCTGTGGATAGCTATTTCGGCTGAATAAAAATTAACTACCTTTATTAATTTATATTTTATAGCGTTTTACGTAATTAATAAATCCTCTTATTGATGTTTCAAGTAGTATGCAGAGTCCCTACTATTTCATATAGGGACAGTGTTGATATTCCTTAAACGGTAACAGATAGAAGGTTGGTTAAATAAGAGAAAAGTTACGCAGTTTTGTGCTCATTAAAATGGTGCCAAGGAATCTTTGATATCTATAGGGAAATTTAAAATATCGGACAAAAAATGAAAATTGTCATTTCTTAAAATTAATTCATTCGTTTTTTGTCAGATATATTGAATTTCTTTATAGATATCAAATGTTTTCTGGCACCATTTTAATAAGCGCAAAACTGCGCAACTTTTGTCAAATTCAACCATTTTTCTATCTGTTACCGTTAAAAAAATAGCAATTCGCTCCGCGCGAAGTCATGGAAAGGGAAGCACAAGCGATACTAGCGCTAGCTGCGGATAATTCGTGCATTTTAGGGGGATATTTTGTAATTTTGGCATATCAAATACACGTATACATTTTAATTTTTTTTTTAAAAAGTAGGTAAAAACAACACAATAAGCAACCGGAGTTGCTGTGTTGAAAATTGTACAAATACTAGCAAAAAAAAACAGTGAAACTTATATAACAAATTTCACTAACAAAGTGGAAATTAAATCAAAGAAATAAATGGATAGGTGTACAATAAGAAGAAAAATTACCTTTATTTTTGTGATAATAACAGTAATGCTGGAAATAGTAGACATCAGAAACTAGAAAGTTTTTAAATAAACAATAAATTATCATTTTACGATGTTCTTTAATATCCCTTTATTCTTAAATGTTCATTCAGCAAGGACTAGATTTCAAGATTTCTGCCGTTGATTATAATATTTGGCTGGTATGCAATTTTGTGACTTACTGATCGGAAACCAGTTTTAATCATTCATTCTATGTTTTCTGTAGAACAAAAATGAAAATATAAGTAGCGATCCTTTTTATACATTTTAACTTCACGCTATTATAAATGGTTTCTTCAATGACAACTTATTAGACTTAGGCAACTTCTCATACATTTTCCAGTAAATACTGTTGCCTGCCTATATTTTATTATTGATTTTTAATGATTATACATAATTTTCTTCAATTTAAGCGTGAAAAATATATAATAATAATAAATTAATGTTTTAATTGTTTTATAAATCCATATACTTTTATTAAAACTAACATATATACTTTTTATTTACGAATTCTATTAAAAATTGTATTTGTCAGTATAGGCAGAAATAATCCTTTAATACCAAAACAAATTGGCGCTGCTGTCGCGCACGGAGCGAATACTGTCCCTGGCTCACGAGCTAGTAGGTACCTATCTAATTGGGAGAATGGACAATGGGCCTAGTGAGGCCTAAATGTCATGAGTTAACCCACCCTCGACACGTTACAGATACTGTCCCTATAAAATAGTAATGACCCCGTATATACTTAATAGAGACAATAAGGCCCTTAATGCAAGGAGAGGTTATTCAAAAAAGGCACATTGCTGCAGGAAAGGTTCATACCTAATGTCAAAAAAATTTAACTTTAATGATTTGATATCGAATCGACTACTCTAGAGCTATCGAGTTATTTGATCGAGTTTATTGTCGAATTTCGTTGATCGGAATTGCAATTATGGAGTTTTATATAAAATCCGAGTCGAAGATTTCCGAAGTCAAAATAGATAGAGACTATAGAATCGCTTTTCACAATTCGATCGAATTATGAATCGTATCGAGATCGAGTTACTCGACACAGAACGGAATCCCACCCCTGTATTGAAATATACTTAGTACATTTGAAAATTTTATATCACGTACATTTTCAAAATAATATAAATACTGAAAATCCTAATTTTGAAAGTGACCTAAGTCCACTTTTTATTGACGATGTCAAAAAGTGCGACCCAAAATGTTGAAAGCAGTGATGAAGGTAATTTAAATTACGTTTTGATATTAAATTGAAATTTAAAAAATAATATTTAATTTAAAGAAATTATTAAACCCATGGAAAAGGATAAAATAACAAGATTTCTTGATTCTGAAAGTGAAGAGGAATTAAACTCATACAACAGATTTAAAAAAAGAAGGAGAATTTTAGAAGTTCATTCTTCAACAGAGGAAGAAGAAGTAATTGAGAATGAGAATTTACAAAACAGCACCTTTAAAGAAGGATTCAGAGAACACAGAAGTGGTATTTATATTCAGAACATTCGTAAAATTAAACGGAATTCAGGGAAAAGATACGATACATAATCGGGAAAAATTATTCCTGCCAAAGTTTTTCAAAATGAAGATTGCCAATGCCGAAAAGACTGCTTGAAAAATTTAAATGAAACAGAAAGAAAACGTATTTTCGAAATGTTTTGGAACTTAGGAGACTTTAATAAGCAAAATATATTGCTATACGAAGCGACCGGACGCAGTGTGGTTAAAAATTCTATCGATGGGAAATGATGTGGAAATTTTTAATATCAGGGCATTCATTTTTACCTAATGACAGAGATTTTGGCGTTAAAGAAATGTCGTTAAAAAGAAATCGGTTATTGTATGTGCCACAAGATTATTATAATATAATTAAAAAAATGTAGAAAAGGTAATACTTTCATACTAAATGAAATGAAACAAGAGGATTTTATATCAACAAGACTCTTGGAAGAAGCAGTTTACAAAAGATCCAAAAATACCAACGGAGAAATAAACTGGCTTCAAATATGCTGAATGCGATTTTTAAGAAATGAACCGTATAAAATTTTATACAAAACAACCATGGATGGGAACGCAGAATTTAAAATTCTTGATTTATTGCCACGTCGGGGTAGACCTAAAAAATTTGGGAATATTGTATTGCCATCGTTATATAAAAGTATAAGAAGCATCAAATCACTAAAATACCGACACATGATGGACTTATTGCGGTATATACCTCCGGAACACCATAACTACTTCAAATCACTCCCGCATACTGAGAATGTTAACGAATAACTTGTTACTAAATTTATTTCTAAAAATATAATGTAAATGTTTTTTTTCTTTTATTTTTTAAGCTATATGTAACGGACTTAAGCTCTTTCACCTTTTGTAACAAAGCAAGTTTTTATTTTGAAAGTGACCTAAGTCCTTTTAAGGAAAGCAAGGTCATATATATATATATCTCGTTTATTTAGCAAAGCTAATAGTACATTACAAATAAATAAAATTACAAAAAATATTTATCTATATCTAAAATATAACACTAAAATATCACAGATGCTGGCTCGTTAACATATAATCTCTTAGTTTATATTTAAAGGTATTAAATGAGGCGACATTTCGGAGTTCTAAGGGTATCTCATTAAAAGCTTGAAGTCCCTTAAAAAATATTGAATTTTGGGACTGTTTACGTGCAACTTGTGGAATATGAAAATTAGATCTATTTCTTGTGTTATAGTTATGATAGTCAAAGTTGTAATTGATTTTATCAAGTAAATAAGAGGGGACCAGTCCATGTTTAATTTTATAAATGAATATTAAAGTTAAGTACAGAAAATAGTTTTTAACAGAAAGCCATTTCAAATTTTGTAACATACCTAATATATTGGTCCTTCTATCACATGACAATAATATCCTCATTGCTCTATTTTGTAATTTCTGAAGTCTGTTGGTTTCATTCTGATTAAGTAAATACATAATGGTGGCACAATAAGTGAAATGAGGCAAAACTATACTGTTATATAAAAGAATCAATGACCATTTATTAATGTATTTTGAGCACCGGTATAAGTAGTTGACTTTAAACGCTACTGTTTTAATGATATAGTTTGCATGATCTTTAAAAAACAACATATGGTCTACTATTACTCCCAGATATTTAATTTTTTTTACGACTTCAATGACATCATTTTCAATACTAATTTTCATATTATTTTCAGTAAATTCATTGTAATACCTAACATTCCCGATAATCATAAATTTAGTTTTGTTAATATTTACTTTTAACGAATTAAAACAACACCAATAATATATTTGCTTTAATGTGGTATTTATAGTAGCAGTTACTTCCTGCAAATTATTAGCAGAATAATACAGCAGAGTATCATCTGCAAACATATGTATGGAGCAACCACCTGCAACTTGAGAAATATCATCAATATATAGAAGGAACAATAGTGGGCCCAATATACACTCCCCTGTGGTACGCCTAATTCATTTTTTTGTTCTTTTGATAAAATGTTTTTAAACCTTAATTTTTGTTTTCTATTGTCCAGGTAATTTATAAGCCATTCTAGTGAATTTTCAATAATACCAAAACTTTTTAACTTTTTAATCAGTAGAGATCGATTTACCGTTTCAAATGCTCTTTGTAGGTCTAAAAAAAGAGCACCTGTAATTAACTTGTTGTCAAGATTCTGTTTCCAGTCATTTAATACATATTGTAGTGCAGTCTCGCAGCTGTGTTTACCCCGAAATCCTGATTGATTACTATTAAACATATTATACACTTAATAATAGCGACTTTTTAATAGGATGTATAAAATTAAATCCCTTAAATTCGATTTAACATTGCAAGTCAACCATATATCTTAGGTATATTATTAATTTTGTAAAAACGCAAAACCTTAAGTTTTTCAAATTAAATATAAATGGACTTAAATCACTTTCAAAATGAACGGCTCGTATACCCCTTATAGACAGTACATTACATTTTAGGGGATTAATTATTAATCCATGCAAAAAGCAATATTCATTCAAACTATCCAAATTGTTCTGTAGTACAAGACAATCAGATGAATATTTAAAGATATGGTACTTTTTTAATATTCATGAAAAGAGAAAAAATAAGCTTTTCTTTGATGTATTACTCGACCTACAAAAAAAATAAAATTCTAGTCCATTTTTTTATTGATTATTTATTCATCATAAGTTTTGCTGTACCATACAAAACTACTTTATTTTTATCAACTTCACAGCTAAAATCGACTTTAATTATTTTCCTACATTCAACTATCTTTACTGTTGTGATAACGGTCTCGTTCACGTAGCATTTATTTGGAAAATTTAGAATCTGCTGAACTACAATGGTTCCAGGACCTGGTAACTTAGTGCCAATAACACTCGATACAATGGAATTTAAAAATGCTCCATGTACCACGGCATTTTCGCCATGAATAGAATGAATTGGGTTTGTATCTCCACTAACTAATGTGAACTTTTCCAAATCTTCCTTCGTTATCTGCCTGGAAATAGTTACTTCTTCTCCAATTTTAATGCTTTTCAATTTAGAAATAACATTTGAAAACCTTCGAAGTATCCTCATTGTGAATTTGTTCAATGAAAATATGTATTAGCAAATAGTGTTCCTAAATTTTTTAGCCTTGGATTATCGCTTGCCTCGTATTGAATCACAGTGGATTTTAATTCAGGTGGTATTAATTGATTTCTTGTTTCAAACAAATAATAAAGCGTTGTTAATGCATTTAATGATATTTCTTCGTTTTTGTGGAGTAAATAATTTGAAATCAGTTTGATTCCGTTTAAGGTTATGATGTACGCTTGGCTTTCTGGATCTAAAAATAAATAAAAGCATAATTTTAACAATAGTATTTTTTGCTTTCGTAAGAATAAATTGAGGAGTGGAAGTAAAAAAGGTGACAAGTGGCAAAATTTATATTTTGAGATAATTAATAAAATTATTTATTCTACATTTGTTCAAATTTTAGTTTAAGAGCAACAAAAAATCAGTTAAGTATATAACAACATATCGAAAAAATAATGACTTTTGTAAAAAAAAAACGTGATAAGTGCCAACACAAAATATTAATTTTTGGAAACACTAAGAAAGCATCTAATCTACTGTTCTGCTGCTTCCAGCATCATTTTGATCCACTTCTAGTAGATTATTGTAAAACATTTTGTGCTATGGATTTGTTAAGGTACAATTTGAGAACCCTGCCAGGTTAAAAGTGCTGTCGCGTCTCTTGCATCGATCGCACTGTCCTAAATGTGCTTAATTTAATTGTATGTGATTCAGACGTAAAGGTACACATTTCAATCGCCTCTACATCTTGTCTTGGTCTCGCGTTCTCACATTGTACCTTTTGATAAGGTATCATAGAAATCAAACCTATTTTTTGTTTTCAGAAATTTTGTTTTCTGGTGAAAGTCCATGTAGTTCGGCTTTTCTTAAGTCATTCAGAGTTTTCTCTTTTATAAAGACTTTGACCCCGTTTCATGGAATAAAATCTGCAAAGGTTGTCCTTGTTTTCACAATCTTCTTTTTTTTTTCTAAAACGTCCACTACCATTACTTTTACCAGTTTTTACATTAAGATCGTTCATAATGTTTTAAAAACAACAAACAACAAGATTGTGACTTATATTATTGTAAACTTGGGATGTTTATAAAGAAGATTGGCACTTACCACTTTTATCAGGACATAAACAGTGTCACCTAGCACCGTTTTATGAGTCTAACTCAAAATCAAAAATTTTGGCACTCACCCCCTTTGTTATTTCCACTCTTCAATTATTATGACTCAATCAGGAAGTAGTGATGAGTGGATATTATGATGTTTTAGTACTGTGATTTTTAAATATTGGTTATGTTAAGTCCTGACGTGAACACAGTTTTTAAATTATCTGTTCCAATACTGATATGTACTCTGTACATGCAATAGGAACAAGACTGATCTTATTATGGTAGTGGCTACTGTTCTTACAATAAGTATATTTTATTTTAATCTAATAAAATGACTGTAAATTGCAATAAATGTTTAAACAACATTACAAAGTCACAATATAGCATACAATGTAAGAAACGTTCAAAAATAAATAATTACGCAAAAGAACATAAATTACAAGATGGAAAAAATATGTATGTCACATATGCACAGGAAAAGAAACACCTAGACGATCATCTATTAATAATGAAACTTAATTCCATCTTGGAATCAACAGAACTTAAAGATTACATCAAAGAATGTGTAACTGCAGCTGTTTTAGAAATTAAACAATAAATTGATCATATATGTAAAAAGTTAGAAGAAGAAAAAGATCAAAACAAGAATAAATTGGAAATAATTATAAAATTGGAAAAGGAAATAAAATAACTTAAAAATGAAATGATAAACTTACAAGAATCAAATGTAGATCTAGTTAGGCTATTCAACGAAGCTCCAAAAAATGTTTCAACAACAATCTCGGTACAAAAAAAACATGCCGAAAAAAGACAAAATGTACCAATAGTTCATTCAAAAGAAACTCATCATAATAAAATTATTAAAACAAACCTAAATAAAAACAAAAACTCTCTAATCTCCCAAGCCCAAATGAAAGAAAATGGTACCAATCCGTGTGCCAATAATAACAACTTAGAACATCAAGATAAAACTAAATCAATCAGAGGGACAAATGATAAATTACCTGATACAATCAAGGCATACTCAAAAGACTTGACTTCAAAAGCCAATCTGTTTATAAAACCATTCTCTTTAGATACTAATGCTTTAGAAATACAAAAATACCTTAGAGATACACTTGAATTCACTGACATTACCTGTGAAGAACTAAATCCAGATTCAAAAACAAAAACTTACAAATCTTTTAAGATCACTGCAGACCAAGAAACAGAAAACGATTTATGGCAAGAAAACATTTGGCCAAACGGGATCACAGTACTGCCTTTCAACTCCAAACCACATCATCATGGAATAAACACCAATAATCACTTTTTTCGAGGAATTCCTGAGAGATAAGGAACAAATGTTACCAATACTGACAAAACAGAAATTTCCATTCTCCATCAAAACGTACAATGTATTAGGAACAAAATACTTCAATTAGACAACCTAGTTAATAACATGACAAACGTAAAAATTGTTTGCTTTTCAAAACATTGGCTGTTTTCTAACCAGGCGACATGTTTCAATCTTACAAATTTTAATAACGTAACTACTTTTTGTAGAAAAAAACATATCCATGGTGGGGTAAGTATATATATTCACAACACTTTACAAAGCGTTAAGATTCCAGAAATTAAGAATATGTCAAAAGAAACCTGATAGCAGAACAAGACAACTCACCGACTTGTTACTTGAGTTTAATTTTAATCAAACAATATTTAGATATACTCGTATTACAGAGAGCTCTTAAACATGTCCAGACAACATATTTGCTAACTTTCCTTTTGCTCAGACACACGTGTTAAGGACTACAGAGTCAGACCATGACCCTCAATTATTAACTTTCCTAAATCATGAGCACTCCATATTAGGAGATATAACCCATTTTAGATCCTTCTCTCAAAATAATATAAATAATCATTAAAAACAAACCAACCGACTACAATAAAAAAATATATAAACAAGAGAAAACTAAATTACTAAAACATGCAAAACAAAATAACTTACTTCAACAAATTATTCAGACAATAAATCTAAAACTGTATGGCAAATAATAAATAATAAAACAGGAGGTAATAATAAAAATAAAGTAGAATCTGAAATAGATATACACATGTGTTTAGAAATATCATAAATACTTGCATAATATATCTTTTTATTACCTATTATTTCAACCTTCATTATTGTGTTATACACTTTCTGATATTTAAATAAATAAAAAAAAATGATTCCAACACAAATAATAATATTTAATAATAATTATTATTATTTAGTATTACTAGATATGTACCTTCTTAAATAATGCAAGTTTATAAAATATGTGCATAATTTAAAAAATTTTGAAGGTACGTATCAAATTTATTATTTATATTAATTGCAAACCCCATAAAAATGATGCGACACTGGTAATGGTCTTCAGGCATTTCCCCTCACAATGTAAACAAACCCTATTGAATGCAGACTCTATGAAATATACATATATGCTCGAAGCCTCCAACTTACATAACACCCAACACAAAAATGAACAAACACCACTTAAAGATTTGACACAACAAGCCAATAATTATGTTATACTAGCCAGCAAAAACAAGAAAGTGCCCTCTTCTTTAAAGAATATACCTAAACCATTTAAGAAGGCCCTTTTCTGGCCCATCAACCAATAAAAGAAAGTGTAAGGAAAAAATACCATCTGTTGTAACATCACAAGCATGGAGAGATTATAAAAGAAAGAAAATGGAAAAAAAAAGAACAAAGAAAATTAAGAAAAAGAAAAAACATAATGTTCTCTGTTGATGTAGACATTTTTGAGAAAAGCGAAAACTTTTGTGACATAGATGCTGTTGAAAGCCTATCATTGGTTTTAGTAAAATTTATTGGAGGTAAACGTAATGCGACATCATATAGATATGCATGCATGATACAGACATTATTTGATGATAAGATAGAAATAATGTAGCAGAAGCTATTAAACAACGAAGATAAAACTCTTTTCAAAATTGACAAAAATTACATTTTTACAGTTAATAAAAGAGCTTTATTGGGAAAACTACCTTCTCCAGCTATACTTACCTCTGGAGACAGGATCAAATATAAGTTTGAAAAACCTGTTGACGTTTATAAAGCTTCATAACTATGTAATATCTAGTGAATATGTTTGTGTCTGTATTGTTCCTAATATAGTTTGGTTTTTTATTTGTAAGTTTGGGTTTCTAGAATGCTCTTGATTATTACAATGATTTTGTTAATGAGAATTTCAGTTAATAAGTTTTGATTATAATATATGTTTATGTTTTTGAATACTTTAATATCTTAAGCAACTACCTACCTATTTAATAAATACATAATTTTAAAGCAGTTATTTTTTATTTAGTTAATTCCAAACTTGTAAAGTGTCAATAATTGGACTTTGGGTGTCAATCATTGGTCATTTTACAGCCATTTAATATTTCTCTCCACTTATCTGAAAACCATATTTATTGTTGCTAAAATTGCTTTTGGTTATTCATATAAACCCCCATACATCTTTTAGTAGACATGAAAGAGGTCTGAATTTACGTATTAGTCTATATTTATTTTTAATTAAAAAAATGCCCTAATTGTGTCCAAGACTGGTATGTTTACCTTAATCAACTATTTTTCTTTTTATAAATAAATTGATTCAATGTTATTATTTAATGGTATTTTTTTATATTGATGTTATTTGACCCAGTTTCCATTGCTTATCTTTTGGTAGCTACCTAGTAAAGTAATTTCTAGAATTAGAATGCCTAAAAATGGTATTACTTACCACAACATACATTACAGAGTCCAGCTAATGCAAAATGTGTTAATTCCTCATCATCATTTGATAATTCAGACAGAAACAAATCTATTAGATGTAGCTGCTTGATAAAATCGTAGTTTATTGGATCATAAGCAAAATTTGCTAAATTTGCCAAAGTTTGTTTCTTATTTTCTGAAAAGAAAACATAAGAAAATTACAATGTTTATTTTTTAGATTAACTTATATTTACCATATGATTTTGTTGTTGTATATTCGTTGATAAGCTGTCTTAGAAAGTCATATCTACCAATTCCTGCTTCACCGGTTCGTTTAATCAACTGGTCTTTTCTTGTAAACATCAAGAAAAAGAAAAATATGCAGTTTTATAGAATTTTCAAATCGCCAGTATTCTTTGGTTATGTTTTGACATAAGTCAGTTTTGTGTCAAACTTCACTAAACCACGTATACGATTCTGCTATGTTGCCATACATTTTCTCTTTCGGACCTCTTGACACAGGGTGGGATCGGGCTACATTAATAAAATAAAATGAATTATACAGGATGCTGCATAGCTAAAAAACAGTTATCAAGGTTGTTTTTGTAAATGGACCTTACTGTATTTTTTTATTATCTAATTATATCTTTAATGGGCTTTAACAACCAAATTTTCTTTGAAATCGGATTCCGCGTTGTTACAAGATGTACTAATTTATAAGAACTACTTCAAAAACACAGATCAAAAATTTAAATCAATAGAACTTTATTCTAAAAAATATTGTAGTTTAAGCTAACTTGCATTGTAAATAAAATTACAATTTGATGTTAGTGTTTGAAATCATTGAGGGTTTAAAATCGAGATTTTAAAGTGCTTCTTACTCGTATTTTAAGACACAATTTCGAAAAAGAAAGCAGTAAATAACCTATGAACACATTATTATTGGCAGATTTGTCTGTAAATGAATATATATTATTTGATGATTATTATTTTTATCGGTTATAAGGGTTAGATTTAGCCCAAAACACTGCGCCTATTAGGTATGTTGTAATCCCCTACTTTCTTCAAATTTAGGTACTATCCTTAAATACCTAGTCCTGTTTCTTTGACTAGTTTTCCTAGGTTCTCTACAAGCGTTTCTAGGGTGTTTTTCTGGTTCTATACCGAAAAATCGCCGTCTAACAAGAGCTTTGCATTCGAACATAACATGGGATAAGTGTTCTTCCTCTTACATAGAAAACCTACACGTAATGCGAGTAATGCCATCACATAAAGGTGTTTCAGTGTTCCGTTACTATTCCCTCAATGGTGGATATCTGGTTGCCTATATTCAGGGAACTGTCAACGAGGACATTGAAGTTTATTCGCAAAGAAACGAAAGCCAGTTTATTAGCGAATAAATGTTGACAGATGAGAAAAATAATGAAATTAATTAAATAACAAAACTAATATAAAACATAGTAATCTACTTTATTTAATGAAATTAATTAAAAAACAATATGACAGAACGCAGTAAGCTAAATACAGAGATAACCTCTGGCTAAATACCTACCATAAACAGCCATAGAATAAATTATTAATTTTAGTCCCTGCGCTGTACAAAAAATAGCGTATGTACCACGAGACTAAAGCGCTTTTTAATCCTTCGGGATTAAAAGTTGCAATTCAGTCCCTTGGTACATAATATACTAATTTATTAAATTATTTAGGATGACTGTGTAAAAATCCAGATTAAATAAATAACAATGTTCTGAAACCAATATTTTTGTAATTCTGTACCCACTTTAATTTTACAATTTTTCTTATTACTTGTTGGTATTTTTCCAACTTGTAAGCAAATACGTTAATTGCATATACACTAGAATATATCTACCTATATAATAAAAATAGATTGCGATTTATTTCTATTTTTAATTCAAAACAAACAATAAATAAGGCTTATGGCTAGGAGGCCAAATAGATTTGATGAAGAATTATTTCTGGAAGTGGTATGTTATAATTTTTAGAGGCATAATAATTTGTTTCGGATGTGATTTAACTGTTTTTTTTTTGTATTATTTAAGTAATACTATTAACACAAAAATTAGGTTAGGTTTTGCTGTACGTATTTAATTTCTAAAACCAGAATGAAAATTTTTAATATGTGCTTGCAACTTTTTTATCAAGAAATTAAAATAAATTGATATCTCTTAAACCGTTATTAAGACAAGATTGGTCAAATGGGGCTGTATATTTCGAATCAACAATTTAAGAACGTTTTAAAATCCAAAATTTCGGGGCTGGTTTGTGAGATACTTATTTGATAAAATAAAACTTTTTCAATTTATTTATTCCAATATCGAGCTGTTTATATGATAGCGCATTTTATTTAGGTATTTATTTTTCTAGTGTAATAAAGAAATTTGATTAATTCATTTTTAAAATGTATGTAAAATGTTTAAATTAGCATATCATTCAGCTTCTAATTCTTTTTCTGTAAAAGAGATTATGAAATTGATAGAATTACATGTGAATGTTATTCAACTTACCGTTTATATGCTTTGAATGTGTCAATTATCCCAGACAGCACACCAAATCCTTTGGATATCTACTGAACATCCCAATATCCACTGAATGTCCAGTCCATGGTGGATATCTATTTTATATCCATGACATGTAATTTATAGACATGCAAATGTCCATAAATAATAGTAATTATATAGCAAATTATTAAAAAATTACGCCATTGTGCTCGCCATTGTGGCTAATAGTACCGTTCAGATATTTAAAATTAATTTTTTTAAGGTGTATTCAATAATCCCATGGACATCCACTAAATATATCAAAGTCAAAGCGCGGACGCAAACCATCGTGAATATCCACTAGATTTCACTTTACCTAATCTATGCACTAGATGTAATTTTTGATTTTGCTTCCTAAGTATAGATGGCGATACCACTTTCGTATCTACTCATGCTTAACCCGCCGTAATTGAGTTTGATCGACATTTTTTTCACAATCAGACTTCATTAGAGAATGGAGTCGAGAATTTCCATTTATTGCTGAAGAGTCCTAATAAGGATGACTTTCTCCTTAGTGCCCTTAGTGGGCAAAATCAAAGGCAGATTGTTGGAAATATTTTTTATCTCTATTTTCTTTCGACGTTATTCAATAATCATTGGTTACTTATGAACCTCTACTAAAAATACCTATAAATTTTGCTGAATATCCATAGGATATCTTCTATATTCTGGATATAGACGGACATTTGGATATCCATATTAGATCCACGGAATATTTATGATATCCTGTGGATATATTGGATATCCACAAAAGATATTCTGTGGATATCTCTGGGATTTGGTGTGTTGTCTGGGAATTAAATTATATCCATTTCAAAAACCAGGGTTTGAGTAGGCTGGGCTAAAATTCTACAAACCGAAGACAAATAAATATTTTCTTGAAAAAAAAAAAAAAAATATATGTAATTAATAGAGACATATAAACTTTACTACCTTACCATCAATATGCTCTAATATGTTAAACAATTAAATTGCTTTCATTTTCAAAATTATGCTTTAATAATTTCAATGACCACTTGTTATTCTTATGGACATTAATGACAGTTGACAGTTTGGTTCTTTTGTTGGCATCCAGTGCTATGACCTGTGACGCGCACTAAACACGCGTATTCTAACTAGCGTATTTTCAGAGATATATTTTTAATTGCCCGATTGTCGTAGATATAGCGCGGACATTATATCTCCGACATTCGTAGCGCAATCCATAAACGTTAAGACCACAACTATCCTAAATAAAGCACGGACGTTATCTCTACGACTTTCGTAGAGCTATTCAGGGTATTTAATAAATAATCTGATATGAAAAAATATCGGAACTAACAAATGTAGTCCCTTATAAATAAAAATAAAAAAAATTGACAGTGTCAGTGTCAGTAAAATACGGAGTGAGCAACTATTTACTTTCATAGCCCCGTTTTAAAAAGAAACTTAATGGCATTTAAGTGAGGCAATTTTTAGGATACAAATTACTTGGGTTACGAGTTAAACAATGAGGGCGGAGACCCGTTATTAGTATATGGAGTTCTACGAGCTCTAGTCGAAGAAGATTTTGAAAAAGTAAAGTCTTTGGTTAGACGAGGAAAGTCCGTAAATATTAATGATGGTAGCGGAAATACTCCTTTACATCTTGCAGTAATAAAAGACAAGTAAGTGTAAATACGGCTCAAACTGTAACTATCGGGGTTATAATGGACAAAAAATGTTATTTTTAACAGTCACATTATTTGTGAATATGTTGTTATTTCTGTCTGTTTATAAAATAACAGACCTATTAAAAATAACACAAGTTGTCAATTATAACCCCCTATTATTGCAAATTGCAATGCAGTTTATGCCCAAACTGTTTTATGATTAGTTGTTCTATGGTTAGTTGTTATAGGGTGAGATTACAGAACGTCTGCAACTTTGCAGATCTGCAAATATGGCGGCAACTTTGAAGATCTGCAAATATGGCGGACTTACAGATGCAAGTATCACGTTTTCGTATTCCAAAAAATATTTGCAAATTATCAAAATTTATTGTGGTTTATTGCGAATTTTCAGATATTTTTTGGAATAGGAAAACTTGATACTTGCATCTGTAAGTCCGCCATATTTGCAGATCTGCAAAGTTGCAGACGTTCTGTAATCTCACCCATAGTTTATATGATGGTAGCTTAGACTATAATCATGTTTGTAGGTTCGCATGAGCAGTGTCGTATGTCGAATAGGCATGAAGCGTGCCAGCTTACATCCCATCTATAAAAAGTAATAAATCTTATTAAAGTATAGGTTGTTTTTAATTATTTATAAACAAATATAAAAGAAATCTATAATAAATATAAAGCCAAGGCGATTTAAAGCTGAGTCTGGAATTATTCATGAGTAATCGTAAATAGTTTAACTATTAATTCAGAATCTCATAACATTAATATTTTGCTAAAATACACTATATCAAATGTCATCTACTTGTGAGATACAGGGTCTGAAAATTAACATATATTTTTTGTGTTACCAAATTTTGTGATTAGATAAAGATGGCGCCACCTATACTTTACTGCAGGCCTGCACAACTCAGATATTCAAAGGGTCAGATTTGAAAAACCGCAACTGTACGAGGGGCGCCACGAGAGGCCTGAACCCCAGTATAAAGAACAATACAGTAGCGACAGATTGCGTCGGCTTCTTTGATGTCGGGGTGGTCAGATTTTCAATGACAGTTGACGTTTTTGTCGCTTATTTCTACACGTAGAAAAGTAAACTCTAAAATTGCAAATTAGCGATGTACACTTAGAAAAAAATTAAAACATGTACATATAACATTTTAATGTATTCTAGGCAAATAAATTAATCAAAATATTGGGTAAAATAAATTACTTTTGTATGCCATTCATTGTTTGAAATGTGTTAAACATTTTTTGGTTTCTTCCTGAAACTAATAAATTAACTCAGCACCTTATTTTTTTATTTAAAATGAGGTTATGTAGGTATCTTTTTAGAAGTGAAACAACATAATAACAATAATATTTATTAAAACACACAATTACAAATTAGTAAGTTTTTAATGAATTTACAATACAAGAATTATTTTATTTCAATAAGATTTTCAATTTTTGTTCCTACGTACAAATTTTTGACTTCAGATGAGTTTTAGCAAATGCCTGTTGTAAGTCACCCGTTAAGCACAATGCTGCCCAATTGCTTATATAACCTATGTATATAATTAAATACTATTAATGTGACATCATAAAAATTTGATGTTTATATTTAACGATTTTATGATTTAAAATTTGTATGGGAAAGGTTATCTGCTGCGGGATTTAAATATTTAATGGCTAGAAGAATCAACATTGACTGTCTAGAAAAGTTTGTTGGGTCCATTAGGCAACAGGGCGGGAATTTACTTAATCCAACACCTGTACAATTCGAAAGGGCATTTAAAAAACTTTTTTGTCAAAATTATCTTCATTGCAATTCCATGAATTGTAATGAAGACCTGGACAAGCACTTGCTACAATTAGATGTAAAAATAATTGTCTCTCTGTATCCTGAAATAAATAAAAACACTCGAGAAGCTGTTTTTCTTCCTAATTACAGCTACAGGACAGAAGATATAATAGTTCAAAATCCATTTAAATATGTTTGTGGCTATTTGATCAAAAAAGCTTTAGGCATACATGGATGTGATACATTTATTAAATTCTCAAAAGAATGTGAAGATTTGGATAGTTCACAGATTTTAACATTTTAATAAAGCACTTATGGAGGCCTAAAAACTCCAAATAAAAAGTTTATTATTTATATATTTAAATTATAAAAAAAATTTATATCTATTTTTAGCAATACCTGTGTAATGTCTGGTATATCGCATAGCTTCTTTTGATATTATGAAAGAAATAGAATTTAATCATCCTTGTCTTAATTTCCTTAGCGTATATATCATACAACTGTTTATAAGATTATATATATTATTGTTTAAGTGCTTAAATATTGTATAAATGAAACAAATCAAAAATTAAAGAACAGTTAAAATAATAACACCACAAAATACATTTTTTTGTTTTCTTTTTGCTACTTTACAAGTAATACATATATATTTTGATTAGATGTAGTCAATCAGAACATTTTTAATCAATGGACATAGTGAATCAAAGAACATCTAATTCATTATAATAATTTGGAGGTAGGATTTTTGACTAAGAATGTCCAAAGGTTACACATGGTACGCTTTCAAAAATGTCTCGTTCATGTTCAATGATAGTCTCAACAGAGGAAGCACTTGGTCGATGTACTAGGGAGAAGATAGACATTTGGCTGATGACCTAGATGGATAAAAAATGTGGGAACAGCAGTAGGCAATAAACGTTTAAGGTTCAACGTTTTAGAAAAACAATTCTTCTCAAATGTTTCTCACACAACCTGTAATTCCGATGAAGACTGTTCACATCTATGTTACTCAAATCTTCCCTATTACAAGCTCTTAACCACATGTTGGCCCTAAAATATAAAAAAGTTGATAACAAATGTTTAGATTGACGGTAGTTCAGAAATTATATATTTTTACATTATTTTTGTTGAAATTGTAAAAATTGTCCTCAAGACACTTAAATAATAAATATTTGGTTGTCAAATAAATATTTGGTTTTCAAATATAAAAATTGAAAGTATTTTCTTAAGACATACCTTTCTGGCTCCATGGGAAATGCAAAATAACTTGTACCTTTGTCTGTTTACTCTGTTTGAGATGGACAAGGGCGATAGACACATCTCTTTCTTTTCTGATCAGGTGCAGAAGCCATTTCAAAAATATCACACAATAAATGAAAAACTAAAATAATCAAAATGTCTCAAAATATGCACTGCAAACAAACAAAAATAATGACATATTTACATCGCATTGACACTATTGACGTTGACGTTTTTGTCGCTTATTTTCGGACATGCGCAGAAAAATATGGACTCCTCATAAAAAATGATCTGTCGCTACTGTATTATTCTTTATACTGGGTCTGAACTATGAGCCTGAGTCTACAATAGTCGTCAGCCTAAATGCAAGTTTGTTTAAATCGTAATATTTTAAAGTGAGGAATCTACCATACTTCTATGTACAATTACTTAAGGACCACCCTGTATACTTTACGCCCTTGTGTGAATATGAATTTATTTTCCGTATCAGCTGTCAAATATGCCAGACGCATAATTTCTATTTTCGTCAATGTAATGTTCATATTAATAGTAAAATAGATTCAATGATTAAATTTTTAACATTGATTTTTTACCTAGATCCTAGATATTTATTTTTATCAATTATTAAATAATTTAAAATTAACTACAATGTTTTGTTTTGGAATACCCATATTTGATTATATAATTCATTTGAGATAATACTTCATGGTCAATTGTTCAATTTTATCGAATTTGAATTATTTCACGACGCAGATTCAATACTGGATAAAAGCAATCTCTTTTTTTGATTTTATTTTAGAAAAAAATGAAAATTGAAAAGTATGACTATGGTTGTCTATTTATTTAAAATTTCTTTTATTTATCATAATATCATTCTTACAGTTAGACAATTTGTTAATCTTTTCGCTATTTATTTTGAACTATTGATGACTTCAAAAAAAGTAGGTATCATCTTTAATAATAAAAAGTTGTTCATAGTTGTTTAACGTATAATTTGTTGTATATAAAAAAACAACTAATGAAAAATATTATTGTATTCTTATATTTGTTGTATCTAATAATACTATACCTTTATCACAGACTATACCTTTAAAAGATGGGCCACTCAACAGTAAAACAAATTTATCCGTCTTCCACAGCCATTTAGTTGTTGCACATAGTTTAGTTGAAAAAAAGAAGATAACTAATAATTAGTAATTTGTTCAGGATTTATATAAAGAGGGTGTTAATCAGCGCGGGTTCTTCAAAATCATCCTTTCTAAAAAACCAGTACTAGGTTCAAAATGATAATGTTTTGTATTCTTTTTCACTTAAAATAATTCAAACATTATATTCTTCACTCGACATACTTAGATGGGTTATGTACTGTGATACAAAAATTTGAATTATTTTAAGTTAAAAAGAAAACGGAAAATTATAATATTGAATTTGTGGAACAAAAAATACATCTTATTATGAAGCAAAATACGATTATAACTATATATTTTTACTTTCCTATCTGTATACAGATATAAGGAAAGTATAGAATCATGATTTTTTTCGACCTCGAGTTTTCGACGGATTTTTACGTTTTGAGGTCCCCTGATTCCGTTTTGACTATTTTCGCGATGACTTCTGTGTGTGTGTGTGTGTGTGTGTGTGTGTGTGTGTGTGTGTGTGTGTGTGTGTGTGTGTGTGTGTGTGTGTGTGTGTGTGTGTGTGTGTGTGTGTGTGTGTGTGTGTGTGTGTGTGTGTGTGTGTGTGTGTGTGTGTGTGTGTGTGTGTGTGTGTGTGTGTGTGTGTGTGTGTGTGTGTGTGTGTGTGTGTGTGTGTGTGTGTGTGTGTGTGTGTGTGTGTGTGTGTGTGTGTGTGTGTGTGTGTGTGTGTGTGTGTGTGTGTGTGTGTGTGTGTGTGTGTGTGTGTGTGTGTGTGTGTGTGTGTGTGTGTGTGTGTGTGTGTGTGTGTGTGTGTGTGTGTGTGTGTGTGTGTGTGTGGTGTGTGTGTGTGTGTGTGTGTGTGTGTGTGTGTGTGTGTGTGTGTGTGTGTGTGTGTGTGTGTGTGTGTGTGTGTGTGTGTGTGTGTGTGTGTGTGTGTGTGTGTGTGTGTGTGTGTGTGTGTGTGTGTGTGTGTGTGTGTGTGTGTGTGTGTGTGTGTGTGTGTGTGTGTGTGTGTGTGTGTGTGTGTGTGTGTGTGTGTGTGTGTGTGTGTGTGTGTGTGTGTGTGTGTGTGTGTGTGTGTGTGTGTGTGTGTGTGTGTGTGTGTGTGTGTGTGTGTGTGTGTGTGTGTGTGTGTGTGTGTGTGTGTGTGTGTGTGTGTGTGTGTGTGTGTGTGTGTGTGTGTGTGTGTGTGTGTGTGTGTGTGTGTGTGTGTGTGTGTGTGTGTGTGTGTGTGTGTGTGTGTGTGTGTGTGTGTGTGTGTGTGTGTGTGTGTGTGTGTGTGTGTGTGTGTGTGTGTGTGTGTGTGTGTGTGTGTGTGTGTGTGTGTGTGTGTGTGTGTGTGTGTGTGTGTGTGTGTGTGTGTGTGTGTGCGCGCGCGCGCGCGCGCGCGCGTTTGTGTGTGTGTGTCTGTGTGTGTGTCTGTGTGTCGCATAACTCATGAACCGATACACAGAAAAACACCAAATTTTAAACTTAAGCTTTGTTCCAGCGTCTAATGTGCTGATTAGATTTTGGGCAGTGTCGGAACATCTGGGGGGGGGGGTACTTTATGGGTGTTCATTTTTATATTTTATGGATTATATCTGTTATTTACGTTTGGGGAAGAAAATTCTTCAAATAAAAGTTACTTCTTATATTATTATCTACTTTATGGGAGGCCGTTTTTATGTTTCATGGAATATATGTTATTTACGTTTGGAAGAGAAAATTTTTCAAATAAAAATTACTTATATTATTAATATCTATAGAAATGTTTCGAGTTAGATGTATGTGGAAAATGTATATATTTAGTTTATTCTCTAAACATTTATAGAGGTGTTGCATTAGGTTGTACAAAATAACCAGAAAAAGCCTATAATAACTAGATAGGAAAGTCATGTGTTGGACACATCAGATTTTTATTTTTATATTTCACTAATTTTGCATTTTATTGAAAATTTCCATGTACGCATTTACAAAAAAATATTTTATAATTGTATAGTTGATAATATCTTGGCGCCAGATTACCTATTTGACAATATAATAATTAAATAATGGTAAATACAAATGGAGATAAAAACATTTTAAAGTACGTTGATGATTCCACGAGATTGTCATCTATAAAAATAACTCTAAAGGAAAAATGAAAATAAGAGCAAACTTTCCTAACGATTAAGGTATATTACGATAGTATAAACCTTGGTGTGGTTCCAAAATTCTTCCTCTTATTAATAAGTGAAGACGTGGGGATAATTAACTTATGAAAATTTTCTATTAGAAAGATGTATCTTGAGTACGAAAAATTCTGGGATTGTTCAATCACCTATGATTGTGTGTGCCTTCTTAGACAAAGAAGGAGCGTCACACGAATCTGTTAAAAAACCAATCGCATGCAGAGGAGTAGATAGCACCACATCCAGATGAATGGCTCAGCTACTGTCTACAAGAACTGCAGAGACACAAATAGGGTAGGACATTATCTGCATCTGCACAACCAAAGGATGTCCACAAGAAAGAGTTCTATCGCCACTAATGTGGAGCTTAACCATCGACGAACTTCTATGCAGATTGACTGACCTAGGCATACCCTGTTTGGAATTATGCTATGTGATATAGTCCAAAGAAGATTAGAATACACCAAAAGATAGTGCAATGAGATGGGACAGTATAAACTCCACCAAAACAACCTAGTAGTCCTTTCAAAGAAAAGAAATTTCAATCTTAAAACCGCCAAATCAGACGGGTTAGATATGGAATGGAAAAAAGAAGTCAAATACCTAGGACTAACCCAGGATAATAAACTTCTCTGGAACATACATGAGAAGTAAGAAGTAAATAAGGTCACAAAAGCACTAATGGTATGCAAAAATATTGCTGGTAAAATATATCTCGAGTTTGACAATACACTCCAATGCTTTCCGAAAAAAAAGTGAGACAACTACTAGATGCTCTTTAACATCAAATCGATCTATTGCACAATTTAGGATAACGTCACACACCTCTAAAGCAAAAATCCGGTGATCAAATCTGCTGTTACCTGGGCGCTTCTGTTTGTTTTCTGGTGGCTAATTTCTTATTATAAGTGATGCTTCAGTAATGATGCTACCTATCAATATTATTTCGAACTTGGGTGGTACCGCATTCAAAATTATCGATAGCGTCTTTTACTAGAGTGGGTTCAATTTTTCTTTACTATAGTTGATTGAATAGGATGTCTATATAGGGCATCACATGATAAAAAAAAGTCAGTCAAAAATTGAAGATCGGGTCATTTAATGTACGGCGAATAGAGGCGGCTGCACTACAGACTGTGTTGTTGGTGAATTGTTCTTCTATTTCATGTATACACTCAATGTGAGACGCTCTATTTTCGTAATAAAAAATTCCACTATTTTAAGCTAATTTGCTAGAGTATAACTAAGTAAAATGACGAAATTTTATCACAGAAAAAAACTTTAATTCATTATCTATTTAAATATACACTTAAATGTTTTTAAAATTATGACTGCTATTAATATAAAATGTTTTTATAAAAATTTTAAAATAATGCGCAAAAAACAACTTTTATCTCAAAAATGTGAAGAATTTAAAGATTTCTATCTGATTACGTTTATGCGTACATTTATATTTTTTTTTTTTTGAACAATGGTAAATGTGAATACTGTGCAGCCTTACCTATTAAAAGGTGCAAAAGTTTATTTTTGATCACAAATTTTCTTGAATTTCCTTTAACTGCTTCTACTATCTACTGCTTCTAATCTTCTTTACCATTGGGGTGTAAGATTTATGAGTCGATTTAATTGTTTTATTTATTTCTTGTTCATATAATCTATTCTTTTCATCGATATCTATAGGGATTCTAAATACTCTTCCTGAAGCTAAATATAATAGGTAAATTAACGATCCATCTTTTTTGCAGCTTGGAAATACTGGAAATCACAACCAAGAATAGAAAAAGACAATCGCAATTTTAATGGCGAAACTCCATTATTCTTAGCCATAAAATGCCATAGGATAAAAATTGCCGAAACTTTAATCGACCAAGGAGCCAACGTTAATATACCTAATTATGAAGAAGTAACACCTCTACATCTTTCAGTAACCTATCCTCGACTTGCCCATTTGCTCATAAAAGTTGGAGCCCACTTGGATGCTACTGATTATAGTGGAGATACACCTCTACATGATGCAGTTGCAGAAGAAACCATAGAAACAGTTTGTATGCTTTTGTATTATAATGCTGACGCTAATTTAAAGGGAGTTAACAGTCTAACTCCATTTATGAAGGCAATCATTGCAAAAAATGTAGAAATACAAGCAGTTCTGGTGGACTATGTGGATGATTTTAATATTGAAACTTATGATCACGTATCTACTTTAGCATTGGCAATCAGTAATAGGTCACCATTTGTGGAAGAAATAATTCTTGGAGGAGCTGATGTTAATTATGCTTACGGTTATGATCTCATTGATACATTTTCTTTATGTCTTCAGTATCCAAATCCCAAAACTTTCAAACTAGTATGGGATAGATTGAAATACGACGGAGATGATATGTCCCTTGGAAGCATATTATGGAGAATCAGCGGTACCTTGAGGAAAGAAATTTTTAAACAGTACATAGATATAATAATAGATAGTGATAATTTAAATCCAGTAGTTGATTCTGTTAGTATAGCTGAGGATTATTATATGGTAATAGTAAGATTCTGCGACTTCTTTCATCAATTGTCAATTGACCAATTAACAAAATTAACTTGTCGATTACTTTGCTACGGTTATGTAGCTACAAGTTTTGATATGAGTAAAATTTTTCTACATTACGGATATTGCGAATTATTTAAAATTATGCTTCATATGGATATTAAATTTATAGGAAGGAGACCACCGGATACTTCAAGACTTATTTATGATTTAAACTATAAAATCAGTAATTTATTGGATCAACTCGTTGGAGTTGTTAACGTAGAATATTTGCATAATACAATTTATCAAATATTGGATTACTGTATTTATCCAAAATTACTAAGAAGTTACATTGAATTGGATAGGGACGATTATGTAACTTTTAAAATACTGCATCTTCCAAAGGTTCCGTCATTATTGGAATTAGCTAGAAATAAATGCAGAGAACATATAATTGAAAAATTTAACGTAAGATCTTCAAGACAGTTTTATACTGTTATACGGCACATGGATCTTAATAGAGTCTATAAAAGAATATTATCCTTCGAACAAAAATTGTATTTTCCTTCTTATGTATATTCTAAAAAATATAATAAATGTACATGAATATAAAAATTTATTTATTTTATGATATATTTTAAAATATGAAAGAGACTTAAGGTAAGTAATTAAATTATTTAAAATAGTTGTAATTTTCTTATAGATCGTTTCATTAAATGTTTATAGTTCTTATAGTTATACAATGTCTGATCAATTACACTTAATAGAAGTCATGGAGACAGTTTTGACAAAATAACGCATAGATTTAGGTAATATTTGTCAACAGACTGGATAAAAATACAGAAATTTGTACAACTTAAGAGAGAAGGGACACAGTAAAGGGACAAATTACACTTGAACATAAAGTACGGCAAAAACCGTATGATGTGGTTATTGTAATTAACAAAAATGAAATTTTTAGTGAACAATGCTTAGGATATGCTGCATCTCAAGGTTTGTAATATTTATTGCGCTGTTTTTGTTTTTATATCACATATAATAAACAGTGTATAAATATTTTTTTCTAATTTTGACATATAAAGTGACATTTTTGTAATCGCAGCAAGTGTTAAAATGATCTAGAAATACATTTTGTTAGTGAACCTAGTAATAATTATGATGTCAAAGAATGCTGCAGAGCACCTATGAAATTTTGAGTTAAAATATATGCCATATTTTTACACCTTTTTCAAAAAAATTATGCTCCTCGTTTTCTGCAAAAATCAAAATGCTCTGATAGCTTCGAACGAAGTCAGCAGAGCACCTCTGTTTTTTAAAGTTTTTTCTGTAAAAACAGCAACACCGTATTTTTATGCACTTGAAATATTATCAATTTTTTCGAAATAAAAAATGATATTTTAAAAAATACATGTTTCCAGTAGAGCAATTCGGTTTTTTAAAAAAATTTGTTGGATATTTTTTTTAAATATCTAATATACATAAGTTATAGTGTACAATGTCACGAAGCCGCCAAGAACATTAACCTTTGCTTCCCATTAGTTTGCCTAATAGACATTTTATAGTTCATTCACATTTTGCAGTTTTATAACATATTGTTTTATTTCATTTTAATTACGTTAGTCTAGAATCCGATTTTGTTCTTTAAATACCTTTCTTTTGTAACATAGTTTTTTACTTCAAATAAAATATTTTTTAAAAACTACCTTACGGCAATTTTGAATTTAAGTGGCGCAGTCAGTAGGATAGGTCAAACGAGATTAGTGGATATAATTTTCGGTTCGTATTAACGATTCATTGACCTATTCGAACATATACCGTGTATAAGGAAGTTTCAGTTGGGTGAACTGAGTAGCTCAACAAGAAGACATCAAAAGGACATTTGATACTTCGGGAATAGGAAGAAAGAACACTAAAAGTGAATATTGTAATATCTTTCGCTGGTTCTGCACATGGAAAGAATATTAATTTTGCTGTAAGTACTTATGTCATATAGAGGTAAAACTAATCAATGTGCTTCAGATTGTTCTAAAAATTCAGATAATAGTAGCACAGATTTTGGTTCAGACTCACCAAAGTATTTAATAAATTCTATAAATTCTATAAATATTGCTAAAATTTAAAAAGATAATCAAAAATTAAAAATGGCAGTACCTACTAAAAAAAGAATATTTAGATATGATACTCGAATTTCAAGGGGATACACAATTACTCCCTAGATTTTTAGAAATTTTAAAAAATTAGTCAAAAAATTTTATAATGCAGCTGATGTTAACGATTTTCAAAATGAATATCTGATGTCAAGTATCTTAGCAAAGATTAAAGGTGAAGCAGCTGTAAATATTTCATCTTGCACAATATCAAATTGGGCAGATCTAAAAGTTGCTCTATTAAGTACTTATTCTGATAAAAGAGACATGGTACAAACCAAACAAGGTAATGAATCGCCTTTTAATTTTTTTAATAAAATACAGCACTTATTAAATCTTTAAATTTCTAATACAAAAGCTCATACTGCTGGGCATGAAATAGTTACTTTATCAATTTATTGTCGTAATTTGGCTCTGGAGTTTTGTTACGTGGTTTAAAGGAACCACTGGGTTCACTTATGCGCACCAAAAATCCTGCAGATCTAAATTCTGCGTTAAATATGTTAACAAATGACTTCCAAAACAATATTGAAGGTTTATATACTTATAAAGATAAATTTGTGCCTAGGAATAGTTTTCTTGAAAATAGAAACACAAATAAACAATTACAAATTACTAATTTTTCTCATAACTCTCGACCGCCTGTTAAACAAAATTATTTTTATAATCCATCACAAGCTAATACTAGTAAAATAAATAATAATAATACTAATTTTGATAAAAGGACAAATATATTTAAGCCAAATCCAAATCAAACTTTTCCGAAACATACTCCAATGAGTACGTCTACAAGAAATACATTTAGGCCTAATCAAAATTATCAAAATCCAAATTATTTTAGACAAAATCAAAATCAAAAATTTTTTCTTGAAGAATTACACACTATAGATGAGCAACCAATAGTTGAAATTCCTGAAGATACCGAAGACAATTTTTTAGGGAAAATTTCCTCGGAAAAAACAGAATAAAAAATTTTGAATTACTTAATTTAACAAACAATGAAAGCCAATTACCCTACATAATTTTCCCTAAATATAATTTAAAGGTACTAATCGATACAGGCTCTACCAGATCATTTTTATTAGCTGAAACTGCTGACATGTATTTCAAAAAATCTGATGTGTCCAACACATGACTTTCCTATCTAGTTAACCTATTGCAGCATCTCTAAAAATGTTTAGAGGATAATCTAAATATATACATTTTCCACATACATCTACCTCGAAACATTTTTCTATAGATATTCATTGAAAACGAAAATACTGAAAAATTAAAATTTAGCACTTTTCCTCTAATTTTTCCATTACGGTCCATTTTAGAAAAGTTATTTAAAAACAAAAATTATAGAGATCGATATCGCAAACAACTTTTAGTTTAACAATTTTCTTAAAAATCAGAATTTTGCACATTTTGTCAAATTTCTCGAATACGGGCCATTTCAGGAAAATTTGACAAAAAACAAAAATTATAGATAATAATATTGTAAGTAACTTTTATTCGAAGAATTTTCTTCCCCAAACGTAAATAACGAATATATTTCATAAAATATAAAAATGATCACCAATAAAGTACCCCCCCAAATGTTCCGACTCTGTCCAAAATCTAATTTGTTCACCTCTGGTCGAAATAAAACTTAAGTTTACAATTTAATGTTTTTTCCTTTATCCGTTTTTGAGTTTTCTTCAAAATTCGAAATTTACACATTTTCTCAAATATCTCGAATACGGTCCATTTTAGAGAAATTATGTATAGAATAAAAATTATAGAGAATTAAATTACAAACAACTTTTATTTGAACAATTTTTATAAAAAATTATTTTTTTTTACATTTTCTCAAATTTCTCGAATACGGACCATTTTAGGAAAATTTTGCATAAAACAAAAATTATAGATAATTATATTAGAAGTAACTTTTATTTAAAGAATTTTCTTCTCCAAACGTAAATAACAGATATATTCCATAAAATATAAAAATGACCACCTATAAAGTACCCCCCAGATGTTCCGACTCTGCCCAAAATCTAATCAGCTCATTGGACGCTGAAACAAAGCTTAAGTTTAAAATTTGGTGTTTTTCTGTGTATCGGTTCATGAGTTATGCTATATACAGACACACACACAGACACACACATAGACAGACAGACAGACAGACATCATCGCGAAAATAGTCAAAACGGATTTAGGGGACCTCAAAACGTAAAAATCCGTCGAAAACTCGAGGTCGAAAAAAATCATGATTCCTATACTTTCCTTATATCTGTATACAGATAGGAAAGTAAAAAATCTGATGTGTCCAACACATGACTTTCCTATCTAGTTATTATAGGCATTTTCCGGTTATTTTGTACAACCTATTGCAGCATCTCTATAAATGTTTAGAGGATAAACTAAATATATACATTTTCCACATACATCTACCTCGAAACATTTTTCTATAGATATTCATTGAAAACGAAAATACAGAAAAATTTAAATTTAGCACTTTTCCATTACGGTCCATTTTAGAAAAATCATATATAAACAAAAATTATAGAAATCGATATCGCAAACAACTTTTAGTTCAACAATTTTCATAAAAATCAGAATTTTGCACATTTTGTCAAATTTCTCGAATACGGGCCATTTCAGGAAATTTTGACATAGAACAAAAATTATAGATAATAATATTAGAAGTAACTTTTATTTGAACAATTTTCTTCTCCAAACATAAATAACAGATATATTCCATAAAATATAAAAACGGCCTCCCATAAAGTACCCCCCCAGATGTTCCGACTTTGTCCAAAATCTAATCATTTCACGTCAGGCCGAAATAAACCTTAAGTTTAAAATTTAATGTTTTTTCCTTTATCCGTTTTTGAGTTTTCTTCAAATTTCGAAATTTACACATTTTCTCAAATATCTCGAATACGGTTCATTTTAGAGAAATTATGTATAGGACAAAAATTATAGAAAATTATATTTCAAACAACTTTTATTTGAACAATTTTTATAAAAAATTATTTTTTTTACATTTTGTCAAATTTCTCGAATACGGACCATTTTAGGAAAATTTTGCATAAAACAAAAATTATAGAAAATTATATTACAAACAACTTTTATTTGAACAATTTTTATAAAAAATTATTTTTTTTACATTTTGTCAAATTTCTCGAATACGGACCATTTTAGGAAAATTTTGCATAAAACAAAAATTATAGATAATTATATTAGAAGTAACTTTTATTTGAAAAATTTTCTTCTCCAAACGTAAATAACAGATATATTCCATAAAATATAAAAATGACCACCTATAAAGTACCCCCCCAGATGTTCCGACTCTGCCCAAAATCTAATCCGCTCATTGGACGCTGAAACAAAGCTTAAGTTTAAAATTTGGTGTTTTTTTTCTGTGTATCGGTTCATGAGTTATGCGTTATACAGACACACACACACACACACACACACACACACACACAC